TCTGCATGAGTAGTAATCGCACTGATTTTTCACTATATCGTCACTCTCTACGTATAATCTTGTAACTCCACAACACAAATTTTAGAGGAGAGCAGTTTAAAAGTTTAAAGGTTCATATAGTTTCCCTAGTTAAGGGATCTTTTGGTTTTAAATTTTTACCTTATAAATATTTTGTTTAATATTTGGTGACCATAAAGAACATGACTTTTTAAACGTCACCATGCAATAAACTGAAAATTCGGTATGTGACACTTATGTAATTATACGTAGGGAGTGACGATTCTTTTTTGATGAAATTTCCATTTATTTGCATATTGTGTAATTTAAAACAATATTGTAATATTTCTCTTTTATATATGTGCTTTTTTAATTTTTTTTCATATATTTTTTTTATATTTTTTTAAATATATATGTTTATCTGTATTTTCTACATCTCTACTTTCATATTTCTATATCAATATCTCTTAAAGAACCGATATAGAATATGTTTTGGAGACTTATGTTCTTTTGTACTTCTATATCAATTTCTCTTAAAGTACTGATATAGAATCTTTTTTTAAAGACTTATATTCTTTATATCTTTTTTCTACATCCGCTTTTATAGTTCTATATCAATTTCTCTTAAAGAACCGATATAGAATTGTTTTTCGGAGACTCATGTTCTCTTTATATCTATTCTCTTCTTTATACTTATTCTTTTCTATTTTATCTTTGCAAAAATATATATTTGAATATATATTTGAAATATATATATATTTAAATATATATTTTTACTTTTTTCATATTTTATCTCATCTATAAATACATGATAGGCTTTATCGGATGGGTACATACTTTCTTTAAATCAAATAAAATATAAAACCTCGGTCGCGAAAGTAAAATAAATTTAAAATAATACTTTTTAATTTTAAAACAACTGTCCCTCGCGTAAAATATTTGATAGATTTTAAAACTTTCCAAAGTAGGTAGGTAAATAGCTATCTGTGTAGATAGGGATGCGTATCTACAAACGCTTGTAGAAAATAAATTAGGCCGGGTAGGTAGGAAATATGTTAGGAAATATATTAGACCGGATAAGTAAGGAGAAATCAAAATGTAAAATTAGGATCAAGGCTGTTACGCAGCCTTAATCCTAATTAATAACGCTAGTAACGTTTAAGATATGTCAGATGTCTAAGATAGGTAGGTAGGTAGGTAGGATTATATATATAACTATTTATATTATATTGTATAATATTGTATTATATTGTATGTTATATGTAATAAATGTGTAATAGAATTGTATTCTATTGTAATGTATTAAAAAAATTGTAAAATGAAACTTGGAAATAGAAAACACACTGATAAAAAGTTTTAAATAAAAAAGCAAAAGCTATATTTCTTGGAATTGCAACTTTTCAGACATTATATTTGTACACCGTTAAAATACCTTTGTATAATATACATGGTTTTTTTGTGTATTTTGTATCTATATATATATGTAGTGTTTTTAAGAAAATAAAATAAAATTTATAAACCACAGAGCAGCAAATGATGATGTAAAAGGAGATGATATTTGACTACACTCCACGAATTCTGATGTTGCTCGCTAAAATAAGATTCTTTTTTTTCTTGACTATCACATCTTTTCTGGTATATCACATTTATGTTGTACGAAAAGTTGCAATGGTTTTTCTTATTCTTTTCTGTTTTCCTTTCTCATCTTCTTATCACGAGATCGGTCATTTTAAATTAAAAAAAAATCAAATTCACGCTCTCGAATATACTCGCACACTTAAAGAAAGTGACCATTTAAATACGTGCACATAGCACAGAATAGAACCGCACGCTGTGGACATATCGCACCGACATGTCGCTCGTGGACTGGCTGCGTAGTTTCAATGTGTACCACTCGTGAACATGCGCTAGTTTACGGGGCAGAAAAGTGATTACACATTCTCTTATGGACCTGGCCGCTCTCAGGCTTCTCTCTGTTACATGTTTGCTCTTGAGCGACGCAACACACACGATTTGTGAACTAGTTAGGGAATTCACGTTTGTGAACTACATGCGGTAAACAACTGCGCTTCGCAGTGTATCGCGGGTCATGGCCGATGCTGAATCACATTCAAATTGTCTCACATTTCTCACGATCATTGTTGTCTCACGCGCAAAATAACCACTCTGTCGCATTTATATTTAAATTAATTTATTAAGATTTATTATATTTACATTCCAAAGTATTTACATTCTCGGTAGTATATCTTGTTATTTGTAACGTAAAAAGATTCACATGAGATCTTTTGAGATTTTTTTAACAAATTATATATATAATATTAAATGTATACTTTACACAATAACAGAATTCAGTTATGATACAGCATCAGAGAAATGCGTAGATAAGTTTAAGTTATTCGAGGTCTGTTTTTTTTTTAATAAAGTTTAGAATTTGTTTGCCTCTCTCCTCCCGAGGACAGAAGCACAGACTTGAACTTATTGCTTTGTAATAAGTTATATGATCCGTATGTACAAAACTTGTGCGATAAAAGTGGAATGTAGAAAGCTCGGAAAAACGAATGGGATCTGTAAAATAAATAATATATTAGACGCAAAAGTGATTTCTCACGAATAAAACGTTTTTGACACTTACTTGGACACATCGAGAAATTTGAAAGACCTTATAACAGTAAACCGATCGCTTAAGCGAGAGTAATTCGGTTCTAAAGCTGTTTCAGTTCCTATATCCAGATCTAACAGAAAATGACACTTTTCCAAATCAAACTGAAATTCAAAAACAGGAAAAATCGGCAAGTGTTGAATATTTGTCATATATTTGATAACACAATATAAAGTTAATTTATGGCCTTGCGTCACGTGTAAAAGAAGTTACTTACGTAGCGTGATGGTTCCTCTCGATTCATATCGTTAAAATGCGGTTGGATCACATTGGTTGCGTTTTCATGCTCCAAGAAAGGTTGAGGCAATTGTCCTTTGAACTCGGAACTTAAGTACCGTAGCTTCCAACTAAAAATAATGCAAGATATTGTGTCATAATTAATTAACGAAATTAGCAGAAAACAATGTATTGTTTGATTCGTGCTCGGTTTTATACTCACTTGTTAGTCGGAAAGAAAAAGCTACTGGGAAAACGATGCCATTCTTTTCCGACGCAGAAGTTTATATCAATGTTGTTAGACGCTTCGTTTTCTATTTTGAGCTTGTTAACTTCAATCATAACTTCCATAGGAGCGTAATAACCTAGGCAAGAAAAATTTATTAAAGATTTAATACTCCAAGTTTTGTAAACCAAAAGAAAACGTTGTGTGTCCCGTGCAATATAACGAAGTATGCACCTTTGTATAACGCCAACGATCTCGACAGCCCCAATAGGCCGCATACTATTATCGCCAGACCGGTAATGTGCGCGGTGTACTGCAAGTAATGACAACCGATGTGCCAAGGATTGACTTTCGTTCTAATGTAAAAATACAACTTCTGCACGATATCCACCGCTATAGCGCCTGCTAGACAAATCATCGGATAAACTGGAAATAAGAACCGTTCCTCCTGAAATAATATATTTCAGCATTGTTTTTATCAAATTTGTGCGAATGCAATATTTAAATACACCCATTCTATTCTTATCAGTACTAATAATATCGTGTTTACGCACTTTATGCGGTTGGAGAAAAAACACGAGTAACCATAAATACAAAGGCGCCAACGAGTACCAGTACGAAAGAAACGAACGGTCTCTCACCGGTGCCGATTTACGTGTCGGCACAATCAACCACACTAGAAGCTGTAATATCAATTAATGTTTTGCTAGCAAGCACACGCAACTTTTTAAATAATCTTGTGTACTAAAAAGCATTGATTTTCAAAAAAAAAAAAAAAAACTACTGGCGTTGGTTTTCTTACCAAACCTAAAGGTGCGAGTAACGCGCCGATAAAGACAAAGTTGAAATTCAGGAAGCCGTTAATGATATAGTAACTGAACGGTTCGGTGCCGTAAAGATTAGGTCCGTGGCTAGTGAAAACATTGTACAATATGATGTTTAACGGCGCGATGACGAGTTTGCCAAAGTATATAGAATCTACCCATACCATTGGTATCCCAATTACAATAGCCGATATAACAACCCACTTTATGAAGGTGCTCCACTCTCGTTTATGTATTAACATCTCAACAGCAATGGGTAATCTACAAGATAAATTCTAGTTTGTTGCGATATCTGTGTGTGTAATGTACTTAGTATATTAAATACCCGAGTAGGGCAGCGAAAGGCCATCCCAACAGTGAAGAAATAGCAGTAGTAAAAATAGCTAACTCGTAACGACGAGCATACCAAGACGCTATAGCGATAGTACTTATGCTCCTGTAACAAACACTGGTTTAGTATATACAGTACGAGTAAAACATTGAGATTGAAATGCTATTTCTTTTCCTGCAAGTCCACATACATTGAAAAGGATGAGGGTAAAAATGCAGCACTGGAGATGTACATTCCAGAACTGAGAACAAGAAATGCTAAAGTAAGTCTACCTATGTGAATTCCAAATTCAAGACAAACGTATCTGAAAAACAAAACAGTTCGTGAATAGAATATATGTTTTAAATAGTTTTTACAAAAAGAACAAAACATACTTGTAAAAGTATACTTGAGACAATGCAGCACCCATTGACAGGAAGAAGCGTATAAAGTAGAAATTTAGCATGGGATTCAGATCGAACAAATAGCAACAAAATTTCATAGGTACAATGTGAATCAACAAAAACATATACGAGCGTAATGCATATTCAGGACTGTACTCCCACGTCTGCTGGCCTGTCCCGTAGAGCAAATAATGACTCTGAAATAAAATATTCAATTCCTTTGAAAATCCAGAAAACAGCAAAGATTTTGTGTTGCATTTATGTCAATATTCTTTAGTTCTTTTTGAAATGGAACAAGATACGCTATTTTGATCAAGAAAAGTCAACTTTAAATACAAAACAATTTAACTCACAGGTTCCCAATAGTTGTATGTTTCATCACAATCTGTTATGTGACACCACATTGCAGAACACAATCTTGCAAACAGCAGCAGTTTGTAAGCTGTGCTGTGGTCCAGATAAATGCATTCAATATGACTAGAATCTTCTGGCCTGAAACATACATCCTTAACTTTTCGCTTCATACTTCCTTCTTCTACACCTAAAATTAAATATGTCAAAGGATAAAGTAAAAGTATAAGATAAATAATTGTTATAATGTAAAATAAAATTTGGAGCAGAGATTTTTATTATGAAAATATCACACGGAAGATGTTTTCTATCTAAAAAGATAAAAAAAAACAATCTTTACAAGTTTGTTCCATATTTTGATGTCACTGACAGAAGAGGTTAGACTGCAGACGATTAAATTTGCGCGATAAACACGCACGTCAGGAACGTTTGTAAAATCGTCGAAGGAACGTAAATGGGGAAAGAAAAAAGAAAAAAACTGAAACGTAAAAAAAGATCGATAACAAGAGATTTGCGTACTTTGAGAATCTTCTTCTATTGATCTTTCTCAATTCTTTCTTTGATAAAACGAGTTGCCGTTGACGTTGATTAGGCGCCATGGTCTCCTCCACTCTCTCCTCGTCGATCTTGAATATTCAATTGTAAAAATATAGATACGTATACAGAAATGAGCATGATGTACTTGTTTTTTGTAAAAATACGGCTAGATAAATTCTAATTTGCGACAACAATGCGTATATTTTCAGGAAAATTGTTGAAATCTTTCAGACAAATTATATTCTGACAGATGAGTAAAGCGCGAATTAAATCCCTAATTTAAATCCCGCGTTTCGGAGCAATGATTTCTCGAAAAAGAAATACAAAACGAGCTTGTACATAACGTGCAATTAAAAATCTTTTGGCACACTATTTTCCTATATAAGACAATGAAACGAGCGTTCGACAGAAACTCTCACAACGATTGAAAAAAAATAAATAAATTTTACATTTTTTACTGAACGCGGCCGTGCAAAGTTTTGCCGAGACTTATCGAAAACTCTTCTCAATAAACGGGTTTGTTAGATCGATATGGTCACGTAGTCATATGTTCACATGCAAAAATGGAGATCGAGCCGAAATTTACGTTCGTATCGTTGAACGAGAAATGTTACGAAGGAATTAACGACAAAAACACGCAAGAGTATTTTTGCAAATGGTATATATACGTTTTCTATAACAGTTAGTTATACAGAGTAAAAAAACGTGATTGATTCTAAAAATTATCACAAGCTTTATATCCTTTGACAATAACTACCACAACGATTGTTACACGTAGGGGTTTAAAAGGAAACTTCGTCATTCAGAATTTTTCATTCAACGAAACATTTTCACATTATCACAAATATCAGCTGGTTGATGTAAGTTCAAGATCATCTTCCATACAATATTAAGTAAATCTGCTTAACAAAGATACGCGTTATATATTACATCATTACTTTGATTAATTTTACAGGCATTTTTTAAAGATGATTCTGTTGCAAAAGCATTGTTGTCTAAACAGGGCAATACTTGGATAAAACAAGGTCTTGTTAAACTTCAAGTTTATGATTTACTGCAAATTTGATTAGTATTTCGGTAAATTTAAACCAAATGAAAACTCACTTTTGCGTTTCATCAGGCATACGAGCATCGAGCGTAGAGGTGAAGCAAGTGCCTTGTTCTGTTTTGAGTATGTCGTTCTTTAACAGGCTAAAGGATCCAGATAATAAGATAACATGTAGTTCAGGAACAATCTGCAAGAGATATGACACGCAAATAGAAGATTTTCTGGTGTCTGACAATTTGCGTGGCGTAAGATGTTCTCTCATCGAGATTTTCCTTTATCCAGTAACAAAAATCTTAGAAAGATCGCGCGTACAAAATATTTCTTTATTAGATGCTTTTGGACGAGGAGTCGGAAGAATATAATTTGTATTCGGAAAATGAAAAGAGCGAGTTCATATTTCGTATATTTCAAATGCTTGTTCTTGGCGGAATATTGTGTCAATTCGAGGACGTGATACAGCCATATCTAGATGTTACAAAAAGAATCTATAAGGATCTCGTTAAGTAATGAATATTCTTTTTTTTTTTTTTTACTAAAAAATACAAATTTATTTAGAATGTCGGTGGATTTAAACGCGTTTCTGTTTTTATTTAGAGTACAGAAGCAAACTACTTCGAATGATTTGTTTGTGAGCACTTTAGTGCTAGAGGTGATCGCCAAGAACAGCTCAGGCCAAGATTATTTTCCACTGAATTCCAGCAACAGACAGAATATGGCGTTTTTATTGATAGATGTTAATTCTCACGAAATCACAACTTTTGTGCATCAGTACGGTGGATACTGTCTCACAGATTGAGTTTTTTCTGTAATTTGTTTTCTTATACGCAAGAGAGTTCATGTGAGAAATAATACACCAGTATTCTCTTTGAATTTCAAAAAAATTTTATTCAATTGTGTGTATAAATCGAGCGATTAATGGAGATACAATTACGCATGTAGTTGCAATTTTTATAATTTAAATATGAGATCTTATATTGTAAAAAAAATTAGGTTTTTATTATACACAATCGTGCCGCTATTATCGTATTTTATATACATGTAAAATTCACGTCATCAGGTCATTCCATTCATAAATATTTCTGAAAACATATGTATATATTCCAAATATTAGTACTTGTAATTGTAGTTATTTTATTAGCGAAATAAAAGCTACGTAGTGCACATTTATCTTTTATCCTCAGATATTGTTGACACGATCACTCAATTACTTTAATCCTGCTTGTTGAATAACAATTTCATACATTTACAGAAATAATATATAAATATACTTTATTTACATTTTTGTATATTTTACATGTATATACGTGTGATTGTTAAAATGATGCTTAAAAGTTATCACTAGCTGTTTGTCATGAAAATATTTCATGTCTATAAAATATCTAGTTTTTGCTTCACTCATTTATGCATGCGGAAAGATACAATTTTTAAAAAAAAACATGATAAAATTTAGCCCGTTATAGTTATGACTTAAATATAAGACTAGTAGACAATGATATTTTTATGATACAGATATACATAAGACAGTATAATACCTAATTATGTTACATATTAAGATGAATATATTTTTTTTCCCGCGCACGCGAAGGTTTTTCTTCTTTTTTTAAGTGTAAATATACAAATAGTATCTTTATCCTTTTTTTTATATATATATATTGTTCTTATCTGTTTTCAGGCTTTACAATTTTTACGCGTTATTTGTCAATCGGTAGAAGAAAACAAAAGTAATAAATAATTAATTATAAAATTAATAAAGCAAAAATTCCTATATATATATATATATATAAATTTGAATCACTATAATACAAATTTGTAATACGTGTTGGCACAATATTATTTTCCAACCAAAAAAATTGTAAATATACAGATTTTAAACAATTTATAACTGTTCCTTATAAAATATTATTACAAATAATAGTCTCAGGCAAAAACACCGTGCATTAAAAAATAAAAAATTAAAAAATATATATACGCGTGTGTGTGTGTATGTGAGTACACTTGTTTGAGTCATTTAAAATATATCATATAAATTAAAATGCAAATTATAACTAAAAGGTATAAGTAAGGGAACTTTTCTCAAAGTGATATGTTTTTGATATGATATTGATTATAATAATAAAGTATTATAATATAATATCATATCATACATCATACTACAATATAATCACGTTCATCGTTATACAATAAACTCAATGTAAACGTAACAATAATCAATATACTTGATTTTGTCTAGCAAAAGAATCAATATCAATCACAATACTTTCGTTTTAAAATGAATTCTTTCAATTAAATAAATGTATATGCGGCATATTAAATTACATATAGTGTTTCCGTCCGGTACGATTCGATATATTTATCGGTCGAAAACGCAAATAAATACACTCTTTATTATTCTAAATTCAGATAAAAAACTCTATCATGATAATGATAAAGGAACAATAAAAGATGAAAGACATTTTCTTAGACTATATAATGTTACAGATAAACTATTCGATTTGATTGAAAATACCTAATCAATAAGATTGGCCTACTTCAACATAGAATTAAAATAACATTCGTCACGTGACAGTCCGACGGTGCTTTGATTGTGACTTTTGATGCATGATATTTCTGTATGTGTTCAGACTTTATACTATATAAATATTACCTATCCTTTACAGTAACAGTATTTGCGCAAATGAAACAGCGAATTTTCCACGCATCTCGCCTGAGATCCGTACATGTTGATCCTGCTGACATCGGAGATCTGCGCGACAAAATAAAACAGTTGCAAAGCGCGTGAAATATTTACACTTTTTTTTTACCGAGACAATCTTGAGCTTACCTTGGTGTGAAAAGTATTTTTCGTTAGATCGTGAACGATGCTAGCTTCGAACAGCGCGTCACCCGGCACCGTTCTCACTTTCAACTGATAAATTTCCGTCGTTACTTTGGTTTTTGCGCTAAAATCGCCTATAAATCCATCTTGATCACCGGATTTTCGAAAATCCAACAAACCTGCGATTATCACGAAAGAGACGTTAGTGTTTTTTTTTCTTTCCGCCAGTAGTATAGTTTATTTTTCTTACGCACCTTTGGTGGGTAAGAGCTTAGAAGCCCAAAGAATTTCGTCCAGGTGCAATATCTCACATATGTCATGATGATCCACGGTGTAACCATTGAGAAACTGGACGAAGTAGTTAGCGGCAGCGACAACGTTTATGTCATCAATCGACACTTCCTTCCATCTGAGACAAGCACACCAATGAGGTTCTATGAACGCGTCCGCACATGTCCTGTCTAGAGGCACCTGAAAATATATAATAAATTTTTTTAACGTTTGTTTTTTCAATTTTATTTTTTCAATATAGAGTATCATAGAGATCATCTTTTTCTCTTATCTTACTAAATATTTACGAATGTCAATGTTGATTTACAATATTCATGAATCACCTTTATGCATGGATCGCACAAAGCGCGAGGTCATTAAGAGTTACCTGATAAGCAAGCATATGTACGTACATACATATAAGTTATGATAACAACAAAAGAGGTGAGTGATACGTGGGTTTTCTACTTGTATCGTAGTTTTTCGCACGACATACATTTTTCATCAGAAATTGTTAAATATGTTAAATAGAATTTACAACATACTGAAAAATGTTGAATATCTATTTTATATATTTAAAGAAATATATAAATATATAAATATATATTTACAGCTGACATCAACATTTTTCTGTCATATCATACGATTCCACTTAGCTTTAATTTCCATTTCATGTTTATAATAGACATGCGCTTGTAAATAACACATATTGTTATATTGACTTACTCTGTCAAATAAGCTGATAGCTCTTTGATGACGATCACCCTCTTGTGGCGTATTGAAATTAAGTATCCTCTCCAATGTCTTATGTACATCGAATGGTGTTGTTAAGTATTGTGTGTTATATACAAAGTTAGCGTATGCTTGTGGATAGGTTTGCTTGAACCAGGGTGGAAAAGTGAAAGAGAAAAACGGCAATCTCTCCTCTTGCTTACCTTGCAAAGTATTACGTATGTCCGCGAATCTGTAAAACAAGAGGAATGCGATTGTTCTTGTGTGTACGATAAATTAGCAAACGACAACTTCAAATACATCAACAGTCTTCACACAGACCTGTGTCCGTGATCGCTCATTAGAATCAAAATAGTGTTGTTCAAATGCCCGAGATCATGAAGATCTTTCACCCAAGAATACAAATCATCATCCACCACTCCGATGTCGTTATAAGAGTCGTGAGAAAGTTCTCCGTGAAATCCAAATACGAACTTTGGTTGCTCTTTATACGTATTGAATATCGTTTTTATATAATTCATCATCACCTACGTACGTAAAATTTGATAAGCTTAGAATGTAATTTCACGAAACTTTTCGAAACAATGTTATTTTGACAATCAATAGGAGAATTAATTGACAAAATTTAATTGTTTATACCATGTGACGTGGAATGCCGGCTACGCAGAATTTGTTGTACGATTTAAAGTACGGAGATGCAGCTAGATAGTAAGTGCGCATGTAATGATGAGTCGGTTGTTCGTCAAATCCCTTCAAACGATACGTAAAGGTCCCGATATGCGGCACATCTTCCATGAAACCTGTTATGTAGTTGTGCTCCTTATACTTGTTCCATATCATAGGGTACACATTAACGTAATTGGCTTTGTGGCCCATTCGTTTACGTGTCTCGGGCAATTCGAGCTCGATCTTGCCGGTTAGAATCGGGATGAGTGCTTGCGGAGTGCCGTCCCCGACAATATTGTAGCCCTCTAGCACCTTGGTGTTCAGTTGCTGTGTTATGAAGTTGTAAGTCCTGGGCAGTTTGCGAATAAATGTGTTTCGCGACAATGAGTCAAAGCCAAGTATGAGCACGTTCACTTTTAGGCCAGTATCCGGCACATTGTCCCACTTGTGCTGTTGCTTGACCTGCGGATCGTATTTTACTCCGGCGAGTACGGTTTGCCACCTGTAATTATATTCATCAGCGAGATAACAACATAAATGTTTTGAAAAGATTTGAAGAAATGCACTGACACATATCCGTATTTTGATTTGCATCTGACGTTCGCGAAGTCGCTGTCTCTCAGAGTGTAAAAATCGTCCGCTTCTATGCCGTTTAACAATTTTGTATTGTAATCATCTGTTCTGATGATCTCTGAAAAAGTTAACAATAGATAATAAATAACAATAAATAATGTTTAATAGTATAGTAAACAATACAAATATATATCGAACATTTAACTAACCACTGAAAGTACAAAGTATTTTTCCATGCTTGTCCTTTGCTTTTTTAGAAATAATAAGATTCGAGCCTTCCACTGTAACCCAATCTTCAGGTCCACATGATAAAGGTGGCACATCATGTATAAACTTCATTATTTCTGGACTAGAGATGTTCAGTTGAGGTAACTTACATGCAACAGCTCCTTCTCTACACGAATAATTATCATGATGACGCAAATAATTATGATAAAAAATGCATAAATTAAAAAAAAAAAAAAAATTATTATATACGTACTTCACGTAAGACTGTTCTGATTCTTTGATTAGTTGCGATATGTGCATTCTGAAATTGAAGAAAATATAAAAATTACAAAAGATTAAAAATATAAATTATTTTACATTAAAATATAATTAAATTAATATATAATCATATAAATGATACTTACAATTTGTCTAGATTTGATAAATCAGGTTCATTAAATCCTAATTCTGTTCTTATCACTTGGACAACACAAAATAATAGTGCCACACACAGAGCCGCTATTATGCAGCGCCGAAAATGGCAGACTGTTACTCTCATGTTTATTCAACTGATTTCTGTAAAGTATATAAAAGTGTATTATAAGTTTAGAGTTACACTTAATTTCTTATATAAAGCATGATTTGTTCTGTTAATCTCTTGTCGTATTATCTATAGGAAGTAATGACCACAAACGCGAACAGCAGAATTACAGACCAATAATTCAGATATAATATATAACAGCAAACTTAGTTTTAATTATTTAAAAACATTCTCTCTTACATGTGAATATTTATCGTCGTCTTAACATAAGAGGATTCCAATTGAAACTGGCGAATACACCGATGTATTTGGCTGTTGCCAGACGAAAGTCAGCTTTGTCTTATCATAATGTGGTTGATAGGTATAATGTATTGCGGTGTATATGTATCACAGATACAAGTAATACACTACTTTATTCTGGTAACTATAATACTTTTTGATTTTACCGTCACTTCTGTCTCGTTCAATCTTGAAAAATAATCTCGATATTATTAACTCGCAGATTTTATTAAAATATAAACAAAAAAGCTTTTCATGTCCTCTTAATTCAATATCAACTTTTACTTGACATATCTTATGTGTATGTTTACTCACTTGTCTCTACAGTACTTGAAAAATGTTCATTTTATCAACTCAAATAAGTGATCCAATTCACTCCATATCTCTTGTGTACATACACTGTACAAATAAATAAATACAATCAACAATAAAAATTTTCTCCAAACAAAGTGGAATACAATTTAACATGTAATCACTTAGACATTTTAATATTCATCTACAGGGAAGAGTTATGTAACGTTGCAAAATTAAAACAAACCGTTTAACGCATCGATACAGTGGCAAATCTTACCTTTGCTTCGCGTCCGATGACAAACAATATTCAGTAGTGAATATACGTAAAACCCAAGAATTGATAACATTCGATTCACAACACGCAGACAACATTCGTAAGCGTCAGAAAGAACACATGGCACGATGCTATCGGACGACTATTGAGAGAAAATGAGACAAACACAGCTAGACGCCGAGATGTCGAGTTTTCGTCCGACACGCATCGCTAAAGGAAAGCAGGTGAAAAGCGGAAAACCGCGGGAAATGTGCGCTTCTCGTCCGTCAAGCACGAGATTTTCTAGAAAAGATTGCGGCACGTCACGACAATCGGCGTCTCGGCGACACCGTCAACATATTTCGGAGCGTTCAGGTCAATTCTCGCAGCGGGCGATCGCTCACCATGGTTTTTCATTGGGACTATTGGGTCAAAGCTATCTCGGGAACATTATTACTCGTCAGCTGTTTTTACTCCACACGCAACACGCACACACTCAAGTCGCCGTGATTGCGTCGTGTCGTGACGTCGCGTTCAGATGACACACACGAGACCGGCGGCGTGCAAATGTTCACAATGTTCTTCGTGATATCGATTTTTTTGCTCCACACTAAGCTGTGCAATTATACATATGTTAAGGTAGAATTTCACGTGTCGCTAAAACTAAGTGTTTAAGCGACAAGAAGAGTCACGCGATGACTTTGATTTGTTGCTCGTATTCCAGCGGCTACAATTTTGTAGTTGGAACCAGTTCAACTACAAAACATCGTTGCTCAAAAGTGCTGTGATGCACTGAGCTGCGTTCGGAAACACTACTCGTGTGCGATTTATCTTATCGCTCATTTTAATAAATCTAAAACAAAGATAGAATGACACTCATGTGCGATCACACAAATGGTATTGCCAAACACAGTCTTGACAGTGTATACCAAAGACACATAACTTTGCAGAACTCTCGAAAAACGTTTAAAAAAAAATACAAAAATGAACTAATTTAATTCAAGACAAATGAAGATAAAGAAGTAAAAATATATATAAAATCTATCTTTTATAATTTTGTCGCTTCTAATCTTTTTTATGTACAAAAGTTGACGTTGAATAGTTAAGCCAGAAAAATCATCACGTATATAACTTTTTTTGTCGCTCGAACGGTCAGTTTCAGCGGCACGTGAAAATGCACCTTTAGAGCTCCTCGATATCTCGCGGCCTCTTTTGATTCTATGACGTCAGAAATGATGAAAATCAAGGAAAATTGCCAAAGTTTCGCGTGCACTTTATTTAAAAATAAACATATTTTATGCAAACGCACGTAGAAGTGTTACAGCATACTCGTTCAAATATATCGTAAAAACACAAATGTGTGTTTTTTTTTTAGCAGCGTGAATATATTATAGAACTACATATATATAAAATTATGAAAAATAAAGCCCCGGAATTCTCAATTACACGTGTTTTCACTTTATACACAAACACACACTAATAACTACACAGAACAAAAACTCCATTAGACGTCTATTAGACGCCGACAGCTCCGTGCGACATCTAATAGATGTCTAATGGATGTCTGGATGGATGGATGGATGGATGTGTGGGTATACTGATAAATATACTGATGAATATGCTGATTACAAAGGTCGTCTCTTAGCAAAACAAACTTCTTGTAAAAATATCGAACGCAAAATTAATCTCTCTCTCGATTCATTAATTTATGGAATATTCTTCGGCAGGAATTTACAAGAACGCAAACCGCAAATAGCACCGAAGCCTGTTACAGAAACCGACTGACATTTTTAAATGTGACACACAACCTTATACTTACATAAGTGTGTATAATGAGATCAATAATTGTTTTAAGACCGCAATTATTGTATATTATATAATGCGTATACGCTGTATACGCGTTATATACTTTGCTTATATTTGAAACACGACTCTACTATCAATGCAACGAGAGAAGTTTTTTTTTGCGATTGTTTTGTGTTTTGACGAACACTATTATTTAATTCCACGGTCGCAGATGGTAAGTCGCTCATTATACAAAAGACTGATCAATGTTTTGCGAATATTATGTTTAAGTATAAAGATTCACACAATCGCATACGTACCTTTTTGAATCTTTGTATCGTAATTGTGTGATCTGTACACTTCTTATCCGTGCCAATATGTTTCTGAGTCCTTTAGCAAATATCACGGCAATTTTTTCATATCTCTAACTTTCACTCTCTTTGTTGAGGTAACGATTATCTTATATATGTATACTACTTTGATAAGTTTACGATAAGATATATCGATGTATGATATATATACTATATATATCGTGGAACAAAAAGACATCAAAAATATAAAAGTGCAAAGAACATCTTTCGCTTTTTAACTTGAATATAAAATAAAAGTAACAAAATGTGTTTCTTAGCATAAAAAAAGTATTATTTTTTAAATAGAAAAGATAATAAGGTGTAACAGAGAAAAAATCTAAATATGTCATCAAAATCAAAAAACAATCTAAAAAGATAAATTCACTTCTCAGGGTATTAAAAGAAACAAGACATTAGAAAAAACTCACTTTTATTAATAAAGTTCAAACTGAACTTTTCGGACTGTTACAATACAGCATAATTTTATTTTTGTACTTTTTTACAGTCAAGTCAATAAAAATATACGAAAATAACGTAAATGGACACTTTATATTTAAAAATGCAGTTTTATTTCTGTAGAAAATACGCGTACAAAAGAAATTATTTATAATTTTTAAAATATAAATTACATATCTCTTCTTTATATCTATATTCTCTGTTTAATATAAAGTGTCTATTTACTTTCATTACTTTATTGTAAATAAAAAATCGTCATAGATGGTTTCATTCACTCAACAGCAACGAAGTTCGAGAAAGCGCCGGTTCCTTTGTACAAAATTTTAGTCGTCTCTCTGCAACCGCATGCCACCTCTCCACGGAAGTATGCTCTGGTGAAGCAAAAAAAAGTGATTTTGATTGATTGTTTGTGAATAAATTAAATAAATTAAATAAATGGGACTAAGAAAGAGAAAGAGAGAGGTTAAATACATTTACAGTCATAGTTCATAAATATAGCTCTTTCGTTCTCAAGCGCGTGGGGCAACTTAACGTACTCTCTTGCGCGTAATAAGCTGTCTAATTACCCTGTATACGCAATATAAAAAACTGAACTATACTCATAGAGTTTTCGTCATTACCTTATACGAAGAACTAGATTCGCTACCGTCTTCGCTGACGATTTGTGGAAGTTCTTCGTTTCTTCGAAGAATTTTCATCGGTCTGTAAGAATTGACCATCAGGAATAAATAATCGGGTATCAAGCAAGTAACAACGACGACTACAGTGAGCAGCCAGAACGAAGGCGACATCGCCAATCTTTCAAAGACTCCAAACATATCGCCGTCATATCTTCTGAAAAGATAATCGATCAAATACAGATATAAAATAAATAGAAAACAATTTTTGTTCTGCAAGTACGTACGTAAATTCTGTTTGATTTTGCGACAGTCTTTTCACATTTAGCATTGTAGATGTTATACTTACATTGGTACGAACGAATAACCAATAGCTATTATGAAAAATGCTACTTCCGATAGCACTACGCTCGTAACAAGCGGAATGGTCCAGTATAAACTACGCAGTAGTATCTGAAATAATATATTATTATTGTCATCGAATTTTTTTTTGATGTAAAAGTTTTTTTTACAAGTTACAAACGAAACGTCGGTATCGATAATTTAGTTTATACACGCACCTGAACACTTGCCAGTAAAGTAACTATGTGAAAGATACAAGTGCTAAATGCCCATTGTCCAACTGGCGTGTTGTCGTAAAAAAACGTTGGATTAAGACTCGACATGATAAATACCATAAAATACGTTACAAGCGTATGCCATAGTCCTAAAAATAATTCGGATAAGATCGAAATGTCCGATCATTGTGTTTTGTACTATCGCTAGTTGCGTGAAAAAAATCATCTCAATTGTGTACCTAACAGAAACCACATCATGAACTGCTTCTTTGACAATAAATAATTATTTACGTTAAGTTTGTACAAGTACGGATAACGCATGAGCTTGCCCGCGCTGTAATTCTGCTCCAACAGACCGTAGAGCAGTATTGGAAGCGATGTGAACACGAAATTGAAACACATTAGAAATACACCGTCGTAAAGTTCCTGTAAAAATACATAATATTATTACAGTAATTTATTAACTGACATTAATAACAAATCTCGTTTTTCTATCTAGTTCTGGTTTTAATTCACATTAAAAAAAATAGTATGTTATTAAAAAAATTAATGAATTAATTTTCTAAAAATTTATAAATTCAAATTTAAAATTTATAAATTAATTTTCTACACTTGACCAAACATTTTTTTACACATTAATTTTTATTATAACACACATTACTTTTTTTAAATCTAATAGTAAGTTTTTGTAATCCATTTTGTAATTTATTTTATATTGCATTCAATTATTTTCACCTGCGTGGAGAAACCACTTTGTATGCCGTATAACATCTGCGGCGTTATGAACACGACGTTTTTGTAGAAAAAATATTGCATCAGTGTACTGATACGCAGATAATACCAGTGACCGTGCACCAGCAGCGCTTTCTTCAGATACATAAATTTTGTAAAGGCGAAGTCGGCAGTTATCGACGCCTGGCGACCCTCTTTTCCCAATATTCCGATACCTACGTGCGCCTCTTGTATCATCGAGACATCGTTACCGCCGTCGCCAATGGCTGCTGTGTGCGGACGACTCCGGGATGTCTTTATTAAACGCACAATCTGCAGATAAGTGCAATTGTTACATAATTTTTTTGGAAATTAATTCCGATTGACCAAATCTTATTAAAAAAAAAAAAAAAGAATTATTGTATAATTCTAACATCTCTCTTCTGCAGAGGCGTCAGTCTGCAACAAACGACCGCTTCGCAAGCTATTCCGACGGATCTGAATAAGTTCCGGCACTTGTCGTTTATCACCGCGTGCATGCTCGTACCATCTATTATCAGTCCGTATTGCTTGTACGGTTCCAGTTTCACCTTTCGTCTGCAAATCGGGACTAATATAATATATAATTTATAAGCGCGACTTTTTCTCTTTCATAAGTTTTACTCACTCGAAAGACATAAGTGTGGCGTAGCAGCATTGCACCGAAGTTTCGTTCATCAGTCTCAGGACTTCGGTACCCGGTTTGAAGTGGCCGCAGTGAAACGCGATGTTCTCCGCGGTCTCCGCTTTGTCCCCGGTGAGCATCCATATCTAAATTTATACAAAGTTGCGTGTATATATCTCGATTGATTACACATGAATTTTTTTTTTTGATAATTCAACGGATGTTGCGACAATGTGACGAAAACTAACTTTTATACCGGCGACTCGCAAGCATTCCAACGTTTCCTGTACGTTATCCTGTAGACGATCTTCCACCGCGGTTACTCCGAGCAAAGTGAGTCCGCTTTCCATGAGATTGTAAGCACGCATCACGTGCTGAGCTCTCTCGGCGCTAATTATCTGCCTGGCCTGCTCGATGTTTTGCAATAGTTCTTCATACTCGGACTCGTTCATCTTTTTGTACGCTACCACGAGAGTTCGCAGACCTCTCTAAAAAAAAAAGAAAAGAAAAAATATCTACGATGTGTCAGAATAATTTTGCATCTTGGAATGAATCAGCTTTGTGCTAAATGTAATTATTCATAAGATAACGAACCATAGAGAAGTCGGCGACTTGAGCTTTAGCTTCTTGAATCTTTCCCTCGACGATCAGCGGAATAACAGACGAATCTGCGCCTTTGCAATACAGCCAGATGTCGCCCTCCGAATCTTTTACTATTACCGACATTCTCTTTCGATCTGTGTTTCGAAACGCGTAACATTAGCAATAATTATCAATAATTTAATCAATAAAATTTTTTATTTAGTTAATCTTTTGTTTTTCGCAGCTTCGTCGTACCAGAGCTGAACTCTAATATTTCCAACTTCTTGAAAGTCAGCTCGCTCTTGTTGATTTGAATTTTCATCTCCTCGCTAGAATTCTTTTTGAGAATAACACCGCATCTGGCGCTCGCCTCTACCAACGCCTTCTCGTCTGCCGATGCTGCCTGCCATATGTTATATATTTACATTTTCTCATATGACTTCTCGTTGTAGACAAGTGTCATTAACGCGCAATGACAAAAAGAACAAACAATACTTCACCGCAAATTCGATTTTTGCACGTGTGAGGTGCTATTTTTACCTGATATTCCGGTAAATCCGGATGCATCATCAGCGAACTGTTGACTCTTGTGATCTTCTTTAATCTGAAGCTCTCGCGAAACGACGTGCGTAGGGCTACGATTTCGGGACGGTGGCTCGGCGGCGCTATTTGGACCACATGGCACAACGAGATGCTTATCAAGAAATGCCAAATCTCCTTCTACGTAAATTACGTAATGATATAAAAATTAATTTGTTGGCAATAATAATTAAAATTCAACACACAGTTATTTTCTATATTGATAAATAACATCAATTTTTTGTTTGCAAAGCTCAGTTAGTTTTTCACCTGCCAGGACGTCAGTTTGACAGCCTCCTCCTCGTTTCCGCTCGACGGCAGTTCGTAAAGATTTCCGTCGCAGTCTTTTTCCATGTAGACAGTCCCGTCGATCGAGCACCGCCTGAACACCATCAGATTTTCAGTGAGCGTCCCGGTCTTATCGGTAAATAAATACTGAACCTGGCCGAGTTCCTCGTTCAGATCCGACGTGTTGGCAAGCGCCGGCTGATCGTTGGCCGCGTCGTACATGTCCAAGTCCCAGCCGAAGAAGAAAGAGCCGAGGAACTTTTGCAATTCTGAAGAAAGAGACGTGCGCGCGCTATTCCTTGCGTATAATTTCGTGTCAAATGAGAAAATGTTGCGCGTGAATAAAAAAAAAAAAATATCTTACCGACGGTGACGTACAGTGATATCGGCACGATATAATTAAACAGGATACAAAAACTTAGACAATCACTAAAGAACGAAAACATGCTGATTTTAGGTCGCGGACCAAGATAACTGCCCCACATATTGAGTAAATCGAAGTACAGCTTCAACAAAGAGGATATGATCACTTCAAAAAACAGTATCGCCATGTACACAATAAGATACTTATTGATAGATCTGCAAATAATAATTTACGAGTGTGAGTTTTAAACCTAAATAAGTAATTTATCACCAAGTGAAAATAGCGGTCAAACTTATGACGAAAGCGAGGAGTATGCGTGATATTAGCTTGTCAGATGTAAAATACAATTTTATATTTCAATTACTTCTCTGCAATAGAGAATTTATTGCTGACTATCTTCGAATTGAGCGACAGCTTTGTGTCTTGACCGGTGTAGATTACGCAACCGACCACGTGCTCGGTGTCTTTCAGTCTCGAGCCCCGAAGCAACAGATTCTCTATCGTTAAGTGTCCGCTTATTGCTTCGCCGCTATTTTTAATCTCAAGTTTGCCGTGGAAGTCGTAAAGATTGGGCTTCGGGTTTTCGCATGTAATCTTCGCTTTCATAGCTACGATATTTTCAAGCGACATGTTCGAGACTATTTTTGGAACGAGTAACGTCTAAACGAATATAATATATAAGAAATCATTTTATTGTTTTACTGCAAATTGAAAGAATTAAGCACAATTTTTCCTCTTCAAACAGAATAAAAAAAAAAAAAAACTTACCTTTAAGTTTGTTTCACCATCGAGATTGGATGTCGTGACGTAACAACATCCTGGAGATTCGCTATAAAGAAGAACTATATCACATGGCACATCTTCTTCTCGACGAACTTTTACGAGATCACCTACCACTATTTGTTCGCAATATATTTTCTGCAAATTTCACGTATTTTATTTACAGCAAAACAGGAAGAAGAAAAGAAAATAAGTTTTATCAATAATTCTAAATGTTTTAACATTAGTTTTTAAATTGGACATTGGAAAATTTATTTAAATTTACTTGAGATATATACAAAAAAATGTAAGATAAAAGCGGGGCAACGGACCTGTGCACATTTATTGCGGATGACGGTGACATATCTCCGATTATCTCGTTGATCCGTTTTGTAGCGTAGATAATCCTCGTATCCGTTTTTACACGCGGTTACCACGATTACGAACGATAAGGGCAAGACGCTAGTTACAGGCGAAATGGGCGACTCTATCGATAATGCGACTATTGATGTCAGCAGAAAATAAAAATTTGCTATTCGCCGGAACTGCTCGAAAAGGTTCTTTGGAATAAAATTCCATAATGTGTACTGTAAATTAATTATACAAGAATAATGTAAATATTGAGATTTTATAAGTCGGATATAACAAAAATATCAATAATTTAACACTATAAACTGAGCTTTATTTGAAATTTACAAAATGCACAAGGCACCTTATGCGATATGATTCGATTGCTACCGAACGATGTTTCCGATGGATTATTTTCAGGCTTAATTTTCACGATTCTGTAATTGCTATCACGTGAAGTTGTAGCACCCTGTAAATAAATGCACCTTTGTACTCGCTAACATATACATTAATATTTTTTAATACGATAACATTATCGAGAGAAACGCGATAGAATATCAGCGCCAATTAAATCATTATAAATTGTTTTTGATAAGAACACTGTTGAAAGATTTTTCTGATTTTAAGTCTGATTTTCACTCGAAACAAAAATCTCGTCGGTCACGAATTCAGCTGCAACTATTCTTTTTTTTTTTTTTATCTAAGTTTTTAACGCGCCTCACTACGGTCACATTTTTTAACAAAAATTGTAAAGGTTATCAGCGATCAAAAATTTAACGATGACGCGATGTCACGCAAATTTATTGTTTGATCCGCGTCTTATTTTTTAAATATTTTTTATGGTGATGAATTTCTAGTACTTTTTCATTCTGCGACAACAAATCAAACAATGTTTCGATCGCAATTTTACAAAAAGGCGCAGTTTATCGCGTCGTGTTCGCGTCGACAATTCATACATTATCCGCGCTGGAAGAATTTCATGTACAGATTGAGCACAAAGTTCTTTCTCAAGAACCCGGCGCGTTGCAAACAGAGCGACGACAATAAGAAAGATAACGTGCTCAGCATGACTAACATTCAATATTTGGAATACATGTACAAAGCGTGGATGAAAAATCCGAATTCCGTAAGTTCTTCGTGGGACTCGTACTTCAAGTTGATTCATTCGAATATCAATCCAACATCGTTCTCGAAGGACATTAAATCAAAAAATGTGAAACCCAACTCCTCGGTCCGTGCCGGTTCGTCCTCGAATTTAATGACTTCGCACTTAAACGAAACTCAATCAAACAGTGAGTTCGATTTCACCCGATGTGATTCCGCAATCAAAGTAGATCTCGATTGATATATAATATTGGCATCCGTGCTAAAATTAATAGGATCGGTGTTTTCAAAAGAATCAGTGCGAAGGGAATCGAACAGTCAGATGCAAGGTGACGATTTCGTAATCGGTGCCCTCAATGTCAACGCCGCGATCAGAGCTTATCAGGTATGCGTTCTTCAATTTTATATTTTTATATTTTTTTACACTCGTATTATGTATCGACGTATCTTTCGTTTCCGCATGCAAGACGCGCGGCCATTTGATAGCCGACACCGATCCGCTGGGAATACAGAATCCGGATTCAAAGAAGCTGCGAGGCACGTCGAATTTGCCGCCCTCGATTGTAATACGAGAACATCTCAAGGGCTTGACCGAGGCGGATATGAACAGGGAATTTCCCCTCGGATCTCTCACGGTTATCGGCGGAGACAAGAAAAAGCTACAGCTTCGAGAGATAATATTGAGACTCAACAAAGTTTATTGTGGCCACTTGGGTCTAGAGTACACGTACATTCATGATCCGAGTGTGGTACGCGCGTGTCTGTGATATTTCATTGCTCGCGGTTTCTCTCACCAGAAAGTGTTTCCAATTGTTGAAAAATTTATTATTTAAAAATAAATAGATAAAATCTATTTCACAAACAGGATAACAAATCAAAAGTTTATTGAAAATAAATAAACTTAAAATATATTACATATCTACAATCACTCAATTGATGCAAAAATATTATAAAGATAAAACACAAAATTATGAGAACTACGAGAATATAAAAGAATGGTTCTTTTTTTTTATCAGTTAGATTGGTTGCGAAACAAATTCGAAAGACCAGGCGCTTGGGAATTGCCCGTCGAGCATCGGAAATGGATTTGGATGAATATCATGAGGGCCGTTACTTTCGAGGGTTTCCTGGCAAAGAAATACCCTACGGAGAAGAGATTCGGCTTGGAGGGTTGCGAATCTTTTATTCCCGCGATAGCAGAGTGTATAGAGACATCGGCGGAAAATGGTAACAAGTGATCCTCTTTTTAATTAAATCATCGATCGGTCTCTAACGCTTATAAGTGCGTTAAGAAATTTTCGAAAAATGTACATGAGTGTTAAATAACGTTTCATATTTTATATTTCAAAAATAAAACAATCAAGAGATAATAAGATTCGCGCAAACAACGTGTGTGTGCTTCAGGTGTCGAAACCGTAGTTATTGGCATGGCGCATCGCGGTCGTCTTAACACTCTGGTGAACATCTGCTCGAAACCACTGAGTCAATTGTTGGTGCAGTTTAATCCGATTCCTCTGGAGGGATTCGGTTCCGGTGATGTGAAGTATCACCTCGGCACGTTTGTACAAAAATTATTAGAAAGGTAATAATTTCATGTTCTAAGAAATTTCCTGATATTTTCCTATTCGTACAGAAATGATTTTTGTCCTCAATTTTCAAATCAATTTAAAGAACCAAGAAGAAAGTAACTCTTTCTATCATGGCGAACGCTTCCCATTTGGAGGCGATCAATCCGATTGTCTGCGGTCGCGTTCGCGCCGAGCAAGTCGAGAAAAATGACACCAAACGTACGTGTTAGCCGTTAGATTCAAAGATTGTGCAATCTCTTAATATACAGACGAGATAAATAAATTGCCTCAAGTTGAAATTGAATTTTTTTTCAGACGGTAAAAAATCGGTAGCTCTACTGGTTCACGGCGACGCCTCTTTTTCCGGACAAGGTGTGGTTTACGAAACGATGCACCTGACTAATCTGCCGGAGTACACAACGAGCGGCGTGATGCATCTCGTGATTAACAATCAGGTAGAGAGACCAATTGGTTTCGAAGAAACAATTTTGTTTTTCCTGTCGATAATTTATACATTTGTTCGGTGCAATATCCAAGACAGCGTTAATTCGCATTCGATTTTAACAAAATCGTCTAGACCAGAGATAATTTCTTTCTTCGAACGTGCGTGTCAATATATTTTCAGATTGGTTTCACAACGGATCCGAGATATTCGCGATCCAGTCCACATTGCACCGACGTCGCGCGCGTTGTTAACGCTCCTATTTTTCACATACACGCCGACGATCCCGATCTGGTGACTTATTGCAGCAAGGTGGCCTCCGAGTATCGGTAAATTGCGAAATAAACAGCACGTGTGATCTGTTTATCTTATCGCTGAAAGATTATACTGAACTTTTTTAATATTTTTACTCCGACGCGAAGAAGTAACACGAAATCAGCAAACAATTAATTCAATACGATATTGAAAACGTACGTGAAAATTAATTAATTAAAAACGTTATCGCGCGCTGTTTCCCCTAAATATTTTTTTCTTTCTAAGAAACAGCGACATATATATTTCTGCAGAAGTTACAAACATTTCTTTACGATAAAATGCTAAACGCGCTTGGAAAAATTGCATTTACGTCGTATGATTAAAATTACTACTGAAAAAAAAAAAAAGAGTTGTGCATCTCGCAGCGCTACGTTTCACAACGATGTAGTCTTGGATATCGTCGGCTATCGTAGAAGCGGACACAACGAAATGGACGAGCCGATGTTGACTCAACCGCTCATGTATAAACGTATAAGAGTTCACCCCAATGTTCTCACTATCTACACCGAGAAACTCGTCAAAGAAGGAGTGATAACGGAAGCTTTCGTAAAAGAGGTTTAAAACGACGGTCATTGGCGTTTGTGTGTCTGACCATTGCTTCACTCCTGTAATCGCGCGCAATACTTTGTACTCTTTGCAGCAAATCGATAAGTATTTGAATTATTGCGAAGACGAGTTCAAAACGGCGCAGACCATCAGTTCGATGCAAATGAGCGATTGGCACGATAGTGCTTGGACCGAGTTTTTTTGGAATCAGAGCCCGACAAATAAGATACCGCCGACTGGTATCGATATGACGACTATCAAAACGATATGTACCAGCATATCTACCCCTCCGAAGGACGTTGAACCACATGCTCAAGTTAGCAGATTTCAATCGTCTGCATTCGATTTCTTAACAGACTCTAATATTATTTGTATTTTATACACACACACACACACACACATTTTCCTCATTATAAAATAATCAATTAATCGAGTTTCTGCGCGGCAATATAGTTTGAAAAAAAAATCATAAAATTTCGCAGTATCTCAGAGCGTTGGAGAGGCGAGCGAAACTCACGGAATCGCGACAATTCGACTGGGCGATGGGGGAAGCTCTGGCTTTCCTCAGCCTGCTGAAAGACGGTCATCACGTTAGACTGTCCGGTCAGGACGTTGAGCGAGGAACCTTCACTCATCGTCTGCACATCGTTCACGATCAATTCAAGGACAAAACCTACAAGAACGTTCTGCGCGACGTTTTTCCGCGACAAGCTTTGTACACCGTCTCGAATTCGTCCCTATCGGAATTCGGTGTATGCGGTGAGTTTTGACGGATTTTGGCGGGGCTGCTCAGCTCTCACGATGCGCGCGTAATCCGTTCGTATTGATAACAAATTTTGATTTAACTTTCTGTGATCATCAAGGTTTCGAACTTGGATACTCGACGTACAATCACAATAGTCTGACAATTTGGGAAAGTCAATTCGGCGACTTCGCCAATAACTGCCAGGTGCAACTTTACTCTTCATTTGGTTATTCGCGAAGCGACTTTTTTGACAACAAGCGTATTTAAGTTCTTGAAGTCTTTTCAAGTGGATTTTTTTTTTTTGAGATATTGATCAATTCTTATTTTCTTAGTTTCTTTTTTCTTTTAACTATTTGCGATTATTTTGTCACGAATTGTGTCGCAACTCGACTTTCAGACCATTATAGACTGCTATTTGAGCTCCGGGCAAACGAAATGGGGCAGACAGATGGGATTGGTGCTGTCGCTGCCGCACGGTATGGAGGCCCAAGGACCGGAACATTCGTCCGCTAGATTGGAGCGATTTCTTAAGCTTTGCGACGACGATTGTACTCACGTGCCCGGAACCGAACCCGGCGCTCCTGCCGGCGAGACCGTCGATCAGATCATGACTCGACAGCTTTTCGATATAAACTGGATCGTCTGCTATCCCACGACACCCGCCACTCTGTTCCACATTTTGCGCCGTCAGATACTGATGCCCTTCCGAAAACCACTGGTTCGCACGAGTTTCCGTCCATCTCTTAAGCTCGATACTTTTGGAGACGTCAGTCTCTGTCACCAAAGAAGACTTTTGCGTGTTTGTTATTACGCACTTCGTAGTCATTTTAAAAGTCACGAGACTATTCATTGCGCGAAAAAACTGTTTCCCCGCGATAAAATGTTATCGGACAGCGTTCGCTTGTGCGACTAAATTGCTCGGTCGGCTATGTTGAGAATATATTTGACTTATACTCGACTGTATAATTGAGTATTCAGCGCATTGTTATCTGTATTTTACACTTTTCACCGTGACAGTGATGTAGCGACATCAAACGCTATACGTTTATATAGTCGCGATTGTTGTGCAATTATATATGTTTTTTTTTTTTCAAGTATAATGCTAGCTTTAAGTTTTTTGCTACATAAAAAGTGACTCGAATATTTTATCTTCAAATAGAAATATCGGAAATACGAGCTACAGGTGCGCTGTATAGAAATACATAAAATAGAAAAATGTACAAATATTCTTCGTCGTTCAGATTGTTATGGCTCCCAAGTCTTTGCTGCGACACCCAATGGTGATATCGAGTTTCAACGAGATTGGACCGGGCACGACCTTACAATACGTTATACCGGACGAAACGGCTAAGCCCGGTAACGTGAAGAAGGTGTTGCTTTGCACCGGAAAAGTGTATTACGACTTGTACGCCGAGAGGGAGGAAAAACACTTGGAAGATAAGATAGCGATCGTCAGAATCGAGCAGCTCTGCCCTTTTCCATATCATCACCTCGCGCAGGAAATGATAAAATATCCGCGCGCAAAAGTGAGAAGTTTTCTACGTAATTGTGAATCACGAATTATAAACAAACGTGTATATTTTTTTTTCTACCTGAGAAAATTTCCGCTAAGTGTTTGACGGTTTTTTTTTATTTATAAATTATACGCACATGCAGATCATGTGGCTGCAAGAAGAGCACAAGAATCAAGGCGCTTACAGTTACGTGAGAGACAGGATCGCCTTGGCCTTGGGTATTCCACTCGAAGACATCAAATACGGCGGCCGTCCTCCCTCGTCCTCGCCGGCAACCGGCAGCAAAATTATTTACAAAACCGAGTATAACAATATGATGACAATGGCAATGAGTCTAGACTGATTCACGCCACAGTTAGTAGTTTTTTTTATTTGTGCCAAGAGACGTATCACGAAATCATGTGTAGCAAGCACTTATCAGTTTTAGGAAAAAAAAACGTTTTGTTTTTTAGAATATTTATACACATTCGAAATGTCTATTTATTGTATAATAAGAAATTCTGATAAAAAGTCTTGTCAACAAATTCTGGATTTTCGCGCGAGATTTTACTCACCAACAGACACAAGTATTCGGTGTCTTCTCGCGTTGCGCACGGAAGAATTCTTTTGCTCAAACAACTCCACATTACATTTTCGGTCTTTTCGTCACGGAAGTTGCGGAAGTTTTCGAAGCGCGAGAGTTACGAGAACACACGACACGGGACTAAAGATAGAAACGACTGAGCCGGGAGGTGATAATGACCATCGCAGTGCGCACATGCAAAAAGAATTTACACCTCGAATAAAGGTTGCGATTGTTAACTAGGATTGCGATTATTTCCTTCTACAGCGTCGGCTGTAGTTGAACAATAACATTACTGTCTTCGTTTTTATAATGATATTCTTCGCGTTGTTCCAACAGATTTTTGTTTCGACTTTCAGTCAGGCCGGGAAATACGATTACGTTTTACGCATAAATTTGCAAAATTGATCTGTAGATTATAGGTGTGGCGCTGATAAATGGCGGTCGTCGTTTTTATTGCGTCGAATGACGTAAACTCGACTGGTACCACTAGTTTACGTTTCTTATTCAATCGGATAGCAACAGTCTTCAATTGCTCATAGAATTATTGACGATTATTGGTCACGTTTGAGTGGAATTGAGAGGAAGTCAACGCGTGTACGCATTACGTAAAGTCTTTTAGTGATTGCGAGTAGAAGCGAGACTTGTGGTGCCTTTCTCTTCGTACAGATTTTATTAATAACTTTGTATTGTTGCAAATAATAACTTACATCTTATTGTTATATATATATATTGTTTTGAAGAACGAAGATAAAAAAAAAATTTATAAGAAATATATATTATTTCTCTGAAGCATGAAGCAATCTTAGATATAGAAAATCTGTTATCCACGAAGAGTTTCAATAAACATTCTATATAAACGTTTCAGAGATAAGATAGCAGTAAACTTGAAAGGACTGGTTTACAAAAACCAGCTGATGATGAGAACTTACGTAAAAAAAAAGGGAAAGTTGTGTAGATTAATTATAGATTTCTTACCATTTTGTCGGACAGATAAGACTCAAGGCGACGCACGTGGTTTTAGGAACAAGTGAACTTTCTAATTAGCCGATTGTTGTTGTTTCTCACTTTTCGTACATTCTGACGACACGCGCACTTGATTGCATATTCATTTCATTCGCACTAACACCAATCAAACGTGTTCTTCGCGAGATGTTGCTTGCTCTGTCAATTCATACGATTTAGATACAGTTCTGACTGTTGTATCCTTGACCTTGTAATAGTTCTCTACATGTCTGAGAAACCGTGCACGTGGAACATGCTGTAAACAAATTTACATAACTGTTGAATATTTATGTAAAAAAAGAAAAGTTTTGTTGAACGCAACAAAACAGATAGCAAGTATACGGGTACAATACAACTCTTGTGTCTACGTAAATTAAAAATTTTAAAGTTATATGAGAGACATTTCTCTCATGTAGTTCTAATAATAAGGCCAGTAAGAACAAAAATGTTGTAACTCTGCAAAATATTTTTTAACGTGTAAATTAATACACACATTCGAAGTAAATTCAATTCAAAATTTGTATATGAATGCTTGACTTGCATTTTGTATATAGAAACAACTCTTTTTTTTTCTTGTAAAATTTAAAACGAACCATGCGTAAAAGCTTGCGTAAAAGCAAAACCTTGGCCAGAAGTTGAACTCAGACTTTCGCCCGTTTATCAATTCGGCGTTAAGCTCTTATCAGCCTTATTGTTTCTTTCTCGTATAGTTGAATACTAAGAAAATCGTGTACGATTTATATAAGTTTTATATATTTCTTCAAACTTAAAAAAAATTACAAGTAAAGAAAAATAAAAATCTTCTTAGGCACACGATATCTCCAAAATATCTCATAGATATTTACTGCATGTTGCAATATCCGGAAAATAATCAAAAAATATTTTTTGAACATGATTTTTTTGTGTCGTTAAGATAAGAGCAAAGTAACATAAGAACATTTATCAAAAATATTGATAATAAACTAATAAAGATGATAAAACAAGTGAGAAACAACTAATCAAAAAAGCGCTTAATTTATTAGAACTTGTTTGCCTTTTACTTACTGGCTCTTCTTTAATAGAATTCGTCAATGATGAGTTTTGCGAACGGACATCACGCGTGTACTTCGATATCTATCTGCTAACTGTAGAGATTCTCTGATATATTCGTGGTCGTGACAAGAAAAAAAATTTGTTATCGAGCGATTCGCATTGCCCATCGCTCATTAGCGATTATAGATACAAACTATATCGTTTATCTCGACCAAACTGATAAGACAGCAGGAAACTTCGATCTCTTTTATCTATCTCTTTCCTAAAAAAAAACTCTTTTGTTGATTTTTCGTCAGATTGATTAAACATAAAATATATAAAATATATTAACCCTTTGAGTGCTATGGGCGCATATATGCGCTTAGAAAAATAAGCTTATCATAGCCTATAAGCGCGTGTATGTGCAGTTAGAGTTCTACTATTGCTTCGGCCATGTAGCGCTTTCGCATTCAGCTGCTCTGCAAGGGTTAAATAAATTAACGAAGAATTAAGGCTCGTATTGTTTAAAAATAACAAAATTTAACTGTAAATTTAATTTTACTTTCTTGTTAAAAATTTAACTGGTAATAAGAACCGATGCACCGCAGAGAGGCAAAATGGTATTCTCACGTGTGTGTAATACAAATTTAGCATCCTATATGAATTCGCTAATTGAAGATTTTCAATTCAAACAATCACACACACATGTGTAAAAAATTTACACTTCTAAAAAAATATAAATACATCTTCATATATTTGTCTCGCAAAACATCCAGCGCGTCAGCTCTTACTCTACCAGATAAATTTTGTGATTATCATTAAATAAAATTATATTCAAAATATTCAAGAATAAATTTGAAATAAATACAGATTGTTTTTTGAAATGATAAAAGAGATAGAGACGAGTATTTTTTATCATCAAACATGGGATCTTCAATGACTGATTACTCCGCTATGCGATGTCTGAGTTTCGCCTGGGAGATAGGCAACTTACCGCACACAAGAGCACATTGAGTTGCCTATCTCTCAGGCGTCAACGTAAGTGTTAAAAGGCAACCTACCTACCGCAACCTACCGCAACACATTAGGGTTGCGTTCCAATATTCACTGTCAGTACTGGAAATCTATAGCACACGTGATGTGAAGTATAGATTATTTCAGTACTGGCAGTGAATATCGGAACGAAGCCTTGTTCATCACGTTATTCGGATATGCGTGGCAGACAAATCGGAGCCGTCTGCTAGCGCTCGCGGCGTTGCGCACGCGCGCTAAAACGTGCGGAGTTCAGGGCTGGCAGCGCCGTTCACAGCTGCTCCGCGAGTAGTATGGCGATAACGTTCGGCGTATGTGGTGTGGAGCGATCGGTCGTGATTGCGTAATCAAGTCCAGCAAACGTGCAAGAGACGGTGATCCCGAACAAGAGGAGACCGCGTGGGACGCGTTTTTTTCAGACGATTTTGGGAACAAGTGACGCTACGAAATCCCGGCGACAGTGCCTCCCGTCGATCAGGAGATATGCCGCAGAGTGGAAGCGCGTATCGCTGCTAACGCTAGCCCGGATGCGGAGACGATCACAACCGCCTGCGACGGTTCGGTAACGAACATGTCGGCTATCAAGGGTAACAACACGCCGGGCGGTTTCCGCCAGCTCAAGGTTCTCAGCAATTTCAAGTACGAGCACTTCGTCGCGGGTATATCCGGCGGCGTCGTCTCGACTCTGATGCTGCATCCGCTGGACCTCATCAAGATCCGGTTCGCAGGTGAATCACGTTTCGCGAAAATGGCGGCTCTTGCATCGGCCGCCTCGCGTCTGTGAAACACGTGGTGCATCTTGTATGGCGCCAAAGATTGCTGCATTACGCGTTAACAAAGTTTGGGCATGTTTCTTTTCAAGAACAATTGAGTGGATTCGAGCCTTCGAGATTTTTAAACGAACACAGAGATCGGAAAGAAAGCATGCATGCGAAACACAGTCACGTTATTGTTATACAATACAATTATAATCTTTTTGTCGCTTTTGTTTTTTGTTTCACCTGTTATTTTTTTCAACTTCCTGCACGAATGGTTTTGCTATTGACACACATTGCGTTATCTTCGATTGAGATATAATCGATAGATTGTGTTTTTGAATTTCTTTTAATTACTCATGCATCCACACGTTCGCACGCTCTCGTGTGGATAATGTGATTTTATGCCATGCGGCATTGGCTTTCAAGAATGCAAACGAAAATAAACACGGCTTTGATAAAGAAAAAAATCTCACATTGTGGTGTTCATGCTGTATACCGTGCCATATAATTCTCTCTACATTTATACTCGCGATGGAAAGAAAATCGATAAGACGAAAGTGAAACAGCAGCGCTAGAATAGGCTAGGCGCGAAGTACAGTTCTCTGCTGCTAATCTGTACAATATGTGATGCCAATACGGGAATATAATAACAGACAAATTACTTCTCGATGAATAAATACAGAATTTTTATTGTAAATAAATTAAACGCTAAAAAACTGATGAATTATAAAATTTCTGATAGTTGGTCGATGTTGGTAAATTTCTTTCAAACTTTAACAAAAAAAAAGCAAATAAATTAAAAAAAAAAACGATTAAATTTCGCAAATTAGCAATTGAAAATATTTTGAAAACATGTTTGCGTGTGTGTAAAAGTTTAAAGATTAAACTTGTTTTACTCCGACTATAAGCAAATATATTTCACAACAGAATTTTTTTAGTAAGTAAGAATAAATACGTTTATACATTATATTTCTCGTTAAGATTGTTGCAACAAATGGACTTTCGCCGAGAGTAACGATTGTAAACGAAACAGATGTACACAATTTATCTCGTCAGCAAAAAACTGGAACACACAGTGTCCGAGATTACGGGATGAAGAGTTATTGTTGCATATATTTTTTTCCAATGTTTCTGTTTGCATGATAAATTCGTTTTTTTTTACTCAAGTTTTGACGTCTCCGTTTAATCTCGAGACAAGCATTTTATTCGCAAAAAAATTAATGCTACACGCTATGGGAGAAATATCAAAAAAGTTGTCAAAAAAATTGTTTTCGACAACTCGAAAATTCTCGATCGCGAACACGTGTTGTCGTCGGTATCGTCGAGGTCAATACACGATGGAAATCGTGTCGGAAACATAGAAGATCTTCGTATGATTCACTGTGTTTATGTTGTGCAGAATCGATATTTGATAGAGAATAATAATTTCCGCGGTCGCGAAGTCAAAACAGTATTCGTGATACGAGACGTCGCGATAATTTGCGAGGCGCAAGTTAGTTTAAGATAGAAGTGCTTGTTTTTTCGATTATCTGGATTATCAACGCAACAAAAGTCTATAGACCAAGAGACTTGCTTAGAAACAAACTACATACTTTACATATTTAAAAATAAACTATTTTTGCGCTTTTAGAGGTATTTTTATGTTTAAAAACTACTAAAGCGTTATCATAAGAAATTATCAGACACTTAGTAATATTTATTTCGGTGACTTATTACGGACAAAGAATGAGGACAATGTTGCCAGCGACAGCCTTGTGTATGATAAATGATTCCTCAAAGATTTATATCATTCTTCGTTTTTTTTTTTAAATTATATAATTGACTGATAGTTTAAAGCAGACAAAATGCGTTTCCGAATGTAATATACACTCACGATATCTAATCGCAATGATATAATATGCGAAATAAGTTTCCGAGTACTGATAGCACTTTTGCGTTAATCTCGAATTCCGAGTGTCAAACGGAAAAGCAACACAATTTATGACTACTAATCATAAAAGTCAAACTCCACTTATGTGCTCTTGCATCAGAATTTCATCATAATTTTTTTTACGTCAATATTCATTAAATAATGAATATTAATGGATTTAAGAAAATTGTACAGAAATTGTCCGTAATTATGCTTTCAATTATTGTTATTACTGAAATAATTTCATGTCATTTAAGTTTAATTATCCGATTTGGAATGAAGAAAGGATGTCACATCTCGCGCTGGCGAGAGACACAAAAGAGAGCGAGTACCTGGGTCAGCTATGCATTACGTTGCAAAAAGAAAAAGGATATTGTAACATGAAAAGATTACGCGCACTCTATATACCATCAGAGAATCGTATATTTGCACAGTAGAAAGTAACGGCCCCAAGGCTGATTATTAATCGGGGTAATAAACAATATTCGATGACTACAATTAAACTTTGATATTTAACGCTATAAAAGTATCGTGAGAGTGACACTTTTAACGTTAAATATTATGAGGTTTAATAAATACCGAATAATGTTCATATTCCGATTACACGAATTAACCTTGACCGTTAAACTTTTCTGACGAAATCTCTCATTAATTGTCATCAGTATACGTTGTATTTCGACAACGCGTATTATCGCCGCACGAAAGTAAAAAATTGATACCAGCGAGCTTAACAAAGGAAATGTAAATGATCAAAAAAAAAAAAAATAATAATAATAATAAAGAACATAAATAATGAATGACGTCAAAGTGTCTGACGAATCGTCGAGAATTTCGGGAATTACGACGTATTAAATTTTTATTTATCTCAAAGTTTAAAGAACGCTAAACAGTTTTTTTGTTTTTCATGTGCGTGTGCGCGCGACCCACGGTCACGTGGCTCTGATAAAAGACGAACTGTGCAGACGTTTGGTCGTACAATGTCTTTTGCTGTAATCGCACGTGATGGGCAACGTGATGATTACATAATTGTCATATGATCACGTTTTATAGTGTGTATTATTTTGTAATTTTGTCTGTCGTCAGGACGTGATGCACGCCGTGCAACTATTGAATTTAATTGTTTTATTCCATTGTTTTATTCTTTACATAATAAACACACACACACACACAGTTGCAATTTTAATTGCACCGACGTAATTTCTAGAAATACATGCAATTATCATCGATAATTTTTGCTGATAATCGTACATGCAGATCTATATCGTTTATTATTTTCACAGTATATTATCCAAGAATCTGAGACTAAATATAAATTTGTGCTTAATTGCGGGCAAATGGTAAAAATAAAGTATAATAAATTATTAATTCGTATTTCCCGATATTTTTAAAGATATTTTATTGTCATTCGGACGAAACGCACAAGTAGTTTCAGGTAAATTTCTCATTAGTTTTTTCTTGCCGCTAAATATTACACAATGAAGATAAAATTGTTTCGACAACTATAATTTTTTCAAAGCAATTTTAAAGTGATTTAAAAACGTTTTCCTTGTTTTCGCAATATGTTTCTGTCATTTTTTTCCTGTGGTTTGAAACATCTCTTACGTTGGACTTTGTCCAACGTGTAATATCTTCTGTGTGGTTCTCATTGACAGTCAGGTCACACAAGCAAATGCTCCCATATACATAAATGAGTTCGCGGAAGCGGGTGAAATATTAGAACAAATGTGTGTAGCGCGCAGCATCCTCCGCATAATGGAACTTCACAGATGTGTGTTTTGGGAATTTTCCATAACAATACAGTTATCGGTTTTACATAGCGCATACATGAAATCAAACGACTGTTGCGACTTTTAAATAATTTACACTTCCTTGAAATTCAAACGGCTACTGTTTATTCATCATGCTTTTTCGCGGAGCGGATGATCGCGGTTGTGTATTACATGTAGAAGTCTGCTTTTACACACACATGCGGAACTTGAAATATTTGGTGAATAAGTAATTTTTTTTTTTTTTTTCATTTAATTGCAAATAATTTACGCGAGTTCAATTTATCTCTTCAATTTAGTTGCTATGTGTATGTGTATACGTTTAAAAGTAACATTTACGTCATTGCTTTGCATTTCGACATCGAGGTAAGGTAAGCGGTATATTAAAAACAAGCGGAAGAGAACAAAAAAGCAGCATTGAGAACAACAAGGTTTGTAACTTATTAGATTTTGAACTTATTTTAATTTTCTATTTTATTTAATTTTTTATTCAATAACTCCGTCGCACGTGCGTGTTTATTGATAAACTTGCGACGCGACGCGAAGACAAACGAAGTATTGTTGCGAAAAACTGATGTCCGTGCGTTGTATTTTTAACGGGAAAATATTCACTGGCTGTTCACCAAGTTCACCGAAGCCACGAGAATTCCGTGAGTTACGTCAGTGGCACGTGACATGATCGTTATTAAATCGTGTCGTCGCGCAGTCGACCAAAATTTGATCAGTTGAACTTTTGAAATCTCGTATTTCTCAGACAATAGAATTGCTGAGTAAAATAAAATTTTATAAAACATAAATATTTATATAAACATTTTTATAAATTTTATATAACTTTTATACGCAATTTCGTATTCCGAAAGTATAATCGAGTGCGAATTAATGCGAGAATTTGCGATTAGAAAGTAGTAGAATAAATGAAGACTCGAAAACGTGTTTTTTTTGTGTACATAGATATAGGGGGATAGCTCTGTGATTATGTCAAATTACTGTTATTCGCGAAAGCGAAAGTAGATTACACGGCGGTGGATGATGAGTAACACCCAGCCTCTTCTCGCCGTGACCTGCCTTTACGATCGTGATTGCCATTCTTGAACAACATTGCGCAACCATCGCTGATGCCTCGCGCATTTTAAATACAAATGAATATTTTTTGGAACACAAACGTGTTCCAGTAATTTCAGAAGAGCCCAAATCGCATTTGTGTGTATCTTATTTAGCTTTTCAGAGAGACAACATTTATAAAATGTTCATGTTTTTTTTTTTTGCGCGTTAAATACCAAGTTTTAAAAATGAATTTTGTATTTTATCGCTGCATCTTTTATTTGAGATTTCTAATTTGTAAATAATTGAGTACTACGAGTTCAAAATGTACGGAAGCACGTTTCAGGGATTTATTCACCAATTTATTCGTTTTGTAAGTCTCTCTTTTCGTAGATATAAATAGAACGTGAAGAAGAGAGTTCTCGGTGAATGCGAAACGCGCAGTAAATCGATGCGCTGTTGCTTTCTAGCGAGCGAGATGCGATACGAAACTAATGTCGAAACATTCACCGCGTACTCGATACGAAAGTTTACGTGTGCAACATCGATCGCGCGCACCAGTTTAATTGTTATCGAGCGTAACAATTGACCATACGTTTATCGCACAAAATAGTGTATAATCAACCGTCATTTAAAAGCAAGAGCCGCTCACGCGAGCTCACAGGAAACACTGGTAACGAACAACAATCATGTGCTTTTTCTCTGTATCAATAAAATGTCAAAAGTAACGCTATAGTACAATGCGCAATCTTTCACGTGGGTTGAAAAGTAAAAGTTTTTCAAGTTGCGGTGCTCAATGAAGCTTTTATCTTTTACAGTGAACGATGGCCAAGTGAGAGCAGCACCGCAGTACAATGGTCTGGTGAATGCAGTCAAACAGATCATTAAAACGGAAGGAGTGCGCGGACTTTACAGGGGTGTAACACCGAATGTTCTGGGATCAGGCAGTTCGTGGGGTTGCTATTTCTACTTGTAAGCACTTGAGATCAGAAACACAGTGGCAATTTTTTTCTTCCTGTCGATTATTGCTCTAGAGTTTTTTTTTTTTTTTTGAACAAATTTGGCAGTTTATCTTATGTGCGTTAGTCTGAACAAGCGATAAGGAAACTCTGTTTGGGTTGCGATAAAGATCTTGACTCGAGATAATTGATTAGCATCGATAATGTTTTTGGACGCGTTCCTCAAATTTCCGGTTGCGTCAGAACTAACAAACAAATTCAATTGCAGCTACAACATGATAAAGACCACGATCCAAGGTGGTAACTCGAAGAAACCGCTTGGTCCGTCTATGCATATGTTGGCTGCCGCAAAAGCCGGAGTCCTCACCGTACTCGTGACCAATCCGATCTGGGTGGTGAAGACACGGCTGTGCTTACAATACGCGGGAGATGTGGATCTGGCGGAATCCAAGAGATATCGCGGAATGATAGACGCTTTAAAGAAAATATACAAGAACGAAGGCATTAGAGGCTTATATAAGGCAAGCGGATCTAGATTCGAAAGAAAATCAGAATTGCAGAGCGAAAGTTACTTACTTACTGTTACTTACTGTTTTATTTTTTTTTTTACAGGGTTTAGTTCCTGGATTGTTTGGTGTCTCGCACGGTGCGATGCAATTCATGACGTACGAGGAGATGAAGAACAAATATAATAATTATCGCAACGCACCTATTGACTCGAAATTGGTGAGTTTGATCTACCATCTGACACAGAAATATGTACAGATAAGTGATAATGTACATCTTTGCTTTAAAGAACACTAGAGAAAAAGTTAAAAAAACACTCATTGTGAAACGTGTGTTTTGTAAAATATAAAGGATGCATGTATAACAAAGTTATCAACCTTAAGTACGTGTATATTAAGAAAAGTATGTATGTGTATATATACTTTTTTTTTTTACAGAGTATAATGGAATATACTATTTTCGCGGCTCTGTCAAAATTGATCGCCGCAGGGTCGACGTATCCTTACCAGGTAGTGAGAGCGCGACTCCAGGATCATCATCACGATTACCGGGGCACCTGGGATTGCATCCAGTGTACATGGAGGTCAGAAGGCATAAAGGGTTTCTATAAAGGCTTATCACCATACCTCATACATGTTATGCCGAACATATGTCTAGTTATTATTATTTACGAGAATTTTACTAACAGTTAATTTGCATTGACATATATTATAATCGGAAATGTAAAAGCAAGTTTTTTAGATGAATTTTTTTTTAACTTTTTTTTTTTTTAACCTGTAGCGCGTAGTTTCCCGATTTGTTGGCGCGATGCTACCAATGCATCGAGTTTTTAACCATTCAGGCCATGGTACTCAATTATTTTTAAATAAATGTGACGTGTCGTTCAAATAAGTGGCAGATTATAAAAAAATTGGTTTGTTTTGATTATTTATTTAATTTTCTTTTTTATAAAATCTTTTTTTTTTCACGGATCTTTTACTTAGAGAATAATTGAAATTTATCTCTCTTATTGGTGAATGTTTATTTGATCGGGAAATACAATTCATATAGAGATATATAATTTATATATAGATAATAAGTTCTCTCTTCTCTGGAGTAGTTATACTCCAAAGTGATAGCATATAATATTTTCTGTTATTTTTGTATATCTCTATTTATGCTGCAGATTAATTCGTATATGTATAGTGATAACAAAAGTGTCCGTCACTACAATTTCAATGATTGTTTTTCTGCTGCTACTCGATTTGCTTCCTGCGTAGATAAATTTATCACGCAGCAAAAAAATATATATAAATAAAAAAAAAAAAAACAAAAAAACAAAAAAAAAACGAAGCGAATTCTGAAGTTACGATAGTTCGCGGCGTAATTATGTAGAACATATGTGGTTTATTTATTCAATTGTTCATTTGTTGTCCGTTTACTGAGACGTTATACAGTAGCGTAGAAACGAACGTCGCAGTTTTATTCTTCACGATCGACGTACTTTGTGCAAGAAAAAGATCGTTAACATACAGAAATGTATTTTAACATGAAGTGTTTTCTAATTGTTTAACTAGTACGTTGCGACGTCTTCTAATTGTCTAGGTGTGATTTCGCATCAACTAAATTGGATTTAGTTGTGAACGCACACATGCCGAATTGCACGCACGTGCGAGAGAAAGCGAAGAGTATACAAGAATATGAATATAAGCTAATTGATGCTTTAGTGCGAATGTAAGAACTGCAAAAAAAAAAAAAATAAATAAATAAAAATAATAACGAGAAACACACCTTCGCTGTCGAAAGACGGCGCAATCTCGAATAGATAAATTAAAATAACCGAATCTATTTAATAATAATAATAATAATAATAATAATACACAAAAAACACACTATATATGTCTGTATAATGTTCCAACTATTTTTGATGCATACTGTTACGCACATCCGCATATGTAAAGTGACCATTTTTGGTGTACGAGCTCCAACATTAATTAGACGTCGCGCTTAATTTAAGCGATGTTTTCTTTTTCAAATTTTGGCGATTTGTATTCGCTGAATTTCTTGAATCTGTATTGTCTTATTGTTTTCGTTCTTATGTAAGCAATTCGATGTTTCCGTAAGAGTTGCTTACCTAACCTAATCTATCCACGCTCTATCCAAAGTAGAGTATATTATACAATTCGTAATAAATCAATTTTGACAAGGACTGTCGTAAGAGATACTTTACTGTCACGTAAAGTCTTGACACTCGTAAACTACGATAGGTAGCAATAAGTTTTAGCGCAATCTGTAAATAGTAGGACGAATTTATTTATATCAATTCCTTTAGCTATAAATCTGACATCTGTTTCTTCGATACGAACTAGTGGAAGGAAGTGGAAAGGAGCATTCTTACAATAACATTGTGACATTAATAAACTTATCACATATCGAAACAGATCACGAAGTGTTTGTTATTAAATTTGTTTTTTTTTTTACTATTTCAGAATGTTTTACGCTGAATGTTTTATATTTTTGAATTTGACCTTTTTTCTCTTCAGTTTATTTATTTATTTATTTTTTAAAATCAATTTCCAGAGAAAATTTGTTCGATGATTGTATACATGGAAGAAGGCGTTTACAATATTCTTATTTAATACAACATCCCTCTGTTTATCTCTTTTTAGCATATATTTTACTTTATAAATATATTGTTTTTTCTAACTTTCACATAACAAAAAACATGTAGAAAGGTATTGTGATTTGTTAGATAATTTATTAAGCCACCAGCAGTACGATTTTTGAACATGTATACGCGATAATTGCGAATTATCGACCACTTATCCACATTTCGGGAAGAAATTTCTATATTGACTGGAGAAAATAGTAATGGAAAAAAAAATAAAAAATAAATGTTATGTTTTTATTTACTTTTGCAAAAATTATTTGGAAAAGCATCGGTTCCAAATCGGATTCAAATTTGTTATAGCGTCAAGAATCGTACGCGGGTTCAATTAAATAGTCTTAGAAATGCTTCGCATTTTCAGTCTATTGTGAAGCGAAATAAAACAAAGAAGTATTGCTGGTGGTTATTTACAGGTATGAAGGTTGGCGTGGCTTTTTCAAGGGTTTAAGCGCAAATCTCACCAGAGTGGTTCCGGCAACGGTTATCACATTCGTGGTCTACGAAAATATGTTTCATTTTCTGCACAAATCATCCTAACGTGCTACTACTGCGGAAGAGACTGTGTTGCTGTGCGGTAGACAAAACGAAGGATTAAGGTAAAGCGGAAGAAGAAGGAGAAAGATTCTTTTGAGAAGAATGAAATCGAATAAAATTATCATACGAAACTGGACATATTAGAATTCTTGCAAATTCCCGAACATAATTTATGTTTGTAAGAAAAACTATAGGACAAGAGATCTTTCAAACACACGGTTTTAAATTCCTTAGTATGATACTGCAAGTTGATATATATGTCAGTTGAAACAAAAATAACTGTTAATGTTATAGATAATAATTTAAGAGATAGTTTTATATTTTTTTAAATATTTTAAGAACCATTTGGCATAAGGTGTTTCTTACGTTTAATTTTTGCGAGGAAATGCGTTCATTCCCATATAAGTGTTTTATTTACATTTATTCAGGATATTTGTCTTTTTATGTCACAAATGTAATAGATGATGTAAAACTTTGATTGGCTAAACATTTACCATTTTATTTTAGCACAAAATGTTTACGGAGACTGAGTGACTAATAGAGTTAAAAAAAAGAGACTGATTGTGAGAATGGTTACTAACGTCGCAATGTATATGTTATATACGTAAGATTCTATCGAATTGAAATAATTAAAGGCTGAATTGTTATTGCAGCGTGCACATATTTTTTAAGTGCATGTTTAAAGTGTATCGACAAGAAAAAATTCCCGGTAGTAACGCAAATACGTAATTTTCTTTGTGTTATATATTTTGCAAGTGATAAAATGTATGGCTTTTCTATCTATAATTTGTTTTAAGTTTATAATTAGAATAATTTGTAAAAGGTATTTGTTGTTTTGGTTTTTATATATTAAGTTGTGTGTCATTTGTGTTATATTTGAAGTTATACTTGCAAAAGTTTAATCATTAAGTTTAATCATAATGGTAACATTTTATAGACACAAGGATATTTAATAAAAATAAAATAAATATATATGTAATATATATTTATCAAAAAGATATATAAAGTTTATGTATTTGTATATAAACTTCTGTTATAAATTCATACAGTATGTGTGCCCGGGACTCTCCAACAAATTTAAAATAATAGAAACATTTTCAATATTATGTAATAATAACAGAATAATAAAATCCTTGGTGCTGGAAAACACATTGCAAACTCAATCTAATTTATTGTTACTTTTCCTATTGTTTCTCAATATACAAAATATGATAATTACTTATACATTTTATTGTTACGCATGTATAATTTATAAGTCATATCGCATATACATATAATTACGCATATATAATTTATAAGTTATATCGCATATATAATTATGCATATATAATTTATAAATTTATATGCATCAAAATTGATTACTTACATTATTATCATAACAGTTTATTTTTACATGTACGTTGTATATACATACATCTATTAATCCTTAATAATAAATAGAATGTTTTATATACATACGTATATTTATAATAAATTTACAAATTATTGTTTAAAGATTGACAAATTATTGAAAGAATGTAAGAGAATAAGCAAGAGAGAGAGAAATAGCAAAAGAATTGAGCGGGTAAAGTGAGTTGCGCGTTCTCTGAGAGCCTCGAAAATTCGCTGAAAGTATCAGGATCACACGTAGTGCGAAGAGGTAACGCGAGAGGTATCTGTGGGCGAGGCTACGCGTCCCCCCATCGCCTCCCGCGCGCGGTGATTGGCTGAGGCGCGAGCGCTCCATAATGGCCGACGCGCGTGCTCCGTAATGGCCGGCGCGCGCGGGGTGGGGTCAAGCGCGCTATATACACGCCCAGGAGCTGGCGCGTATACCTACTCGCAAGACATAGTTCCCTGGTAACTTCGCTCGATTTAAGCGTTTTCAGCGTTTCCATAGTTTCCAACGACCAAGACTACTGCGCGTAAATCTTGTGCTCTTGTTCGCTTGATTATTTATTAGCGTGTAAAATAAAATAAAGAGAGAAAGGCAGGTAATAAATAAACAAAAAAATAAACAAATAAATAAATAAATAAATAAAAAAATATAAATAACGGACGAAATATTATGCAAGTCTTTTATTTTCAATACTCATCGAATATTGCGTCGAATCTTATGTAAATTTAATAATTGACGTAATAACTTATTAAATCTAAAGGATTCAGAGAACAGTTTTCTTTAAAGGAAGAGAACATTTATTACTTATTAATTAATATTTATTATATATAATATTTATATTATATTAATATATCAATTTTTAATAATCGACGTAATGACTTATTAAATCTAAAGGATTCAGAGAACAGTTTTCGTAACGTTGATCGCAAAATTGCTCGTGCTCAGCTTGCGTGATCTCATTCGGGAGCTCTTCGCTTCTCGACGTGGAAGGTCTGCAATGCAAATTTAATTGTTTTACATTATTTGTTCGTTGATTGTAATTTATATCGACATCTCTCTTTATTTCTCTTTACACATCAAAACTTTCAAATATACTTTTTATTACAATACTTACGTGAATATGATTTTGAGAATATCACCAAGCACACCGTTTTTGCTTAAAGCATATTTTGCAGCTTGACAAATTACTTTTAACAAACAATCTTGTCCAGGATAGCCCAGACTGTTGTAAAACACACAAATGTCATTATTTACGAGCGTATATTTTGAGCTTAACAATTACACGTGTAATTAGAAGTGAGGTTTCGAAATACATACGTGTTGGTAGAGAATATATCTGTGTTTGTGTGGTTTTAATCACAGTTTTGTTACCTTTCCAGTTTGTTTGTGAACAAGCTGTATATCAGTTGACGACTGAGTCTTCGTTTTTCGAAATAACTTCCGTCGTAATAGTAGTAAGTGGAATTCCATTCGCTTGGCAATCCGTAATTCGCCTCGAAATAAAACGACATCGATACAGATTTGTCGGGAATGTCTACGGGAATACTCAAGGCAAAGAATATCTATAAAAATGATAATGACAAATTATTTGTTCTGAAGATATTATTTTATACATATATATTTTTTAAAGTAAGACAAAGAGAGAGTAATAAGTGAAGAATTATGTAAGAAAACGAGAGATGGTTTTCCAATAGAGTTGAATATCCTCTCGATTTACTCGGCAAATCACACGCTTTACATGTGTACCTCTCGATACACGCAAATGATTAATATAAAGCTAACAGGTTGCTCACATAGTACGAGACGCATTAGTAGATGAAAAATGAATGATTGATCCGCCACATACCCCTGTATTACTACCCTCGGGAAATCCGATAGATCGCATATGCCTCGATACACCGTGTGTAATATTTTTCACCCCCGATACACGTGTTGACTTCATAAAGCAGCACATCAAAAACGCAAACGCCGTAATGTGATTTCTGAAAACATTTCAAGATGACACATTTGTATATTGTTTATCAATTTTTTTTTATCAGTCTTAAAAATTGAAATCGATGTTTCTTCGCCACACACATTCGATCACATTTGAGATTATTAATTTTCAAAGCAATAATTGAGATTTATTTATTTATTTTTTTTTAACAACTAAATAACATTTTGTAAAATAAACAACTGAATGTTTAGACGAATGATATTTTTTAAATTTTTCATCGAAGTGCAAACGCGCGCTTGTACAATATACCACGGATATGTTGTCCATTCGAAACTCGGATGTGGGTCTCTCATGGGACGATCAATAACTCGGTAAAAATAAAAAAAGATACACGTCGCATCTGTTTGTTCATTTCTTTATTTCGCGAATTGTTTTGATTTTGCTATCGCTTCATTGATTTTACGCGCTCATGCAAATGCCGATTCGTTCATTCCACGCGCAATTGCGTATTTCGATGCGCTTTCGAATGAAACAAAAAAAAAAAAAAAAAAGAAACTTTATTTCCCGCGCCAAGTTTGTGTCATGCGTATCAAAATAAATTATTAAATAAATGTGTTATATAAAATAAATAATATTACATTCCATATGTTTTGCTGATTCTTTTTGACAGAATCGAATTATCACATTTTTTAAATTTATTTTATAATATCTCAACGCAAATATTTCTTGATATCGAACATAAGTACTTACCTCATCGTTTTAACGTGCAACCGGCCGCCGAGGTTCGCTTGAAGTTTTTTTACCAAATGGCAAATTAACGGTGTGAACAATTTTGCGAGTGTGCGTGACGAAAAAAATTACGTCAGTTTGCACAAGGATAATAATTTAAGTTGTTAGGGCGATAATTATTTTCGTCTCGTTATGATTATACATTCTGGTGTATATTCTGGTGTTAACAATATGTTACTATTATTTAGTGCAATTGCAATATACTAACATGCAACTAGTTTGCAAATTACGTTTAGCGCAATCAGGCCAATTTCTTTTCGACATGTTTATTTTTATATACGCTTTAATATTCGCGCGATCGCAAACACATTTCAATTTTTTTCACGTTTTCATTTCAATGATTATTATCATATACTTTTATGTATAAAACTTTATAACGTAAATCATACATGATGTAATGTAAATCAATACGAATATTTGTTTTTATTCTTCGAAAAATTCAGTCGCGAAAATAAAAAGTATATTACAACATTATTAATTATATTATAATAACGAGCAAAAATCGGAAAGTTTACGAAATCCGAAGTTTCTTGTATTTATACAGAGTGTTTGAGAAATTTTGACACAGCCAAAGTGTGAAGATAAATAAAACTTAATAAAAAAAAAAAAAAAAAAAAAATATATTGCGAATTTCGCAAAATGGTACATGACTCTTTCCGTTCATATCGATCCAATCTATCTTTGCTTGGCTGTGTCAAACTTTTTCAGATACTATATATCGGATAGTTAGTGCACGTATATTTCTCAATCGTTGAGACGGCGCGAAATGAGATTATATGCGTCCGCGCGAGACGCATTAATCTCCACAATCGGTATGCATCTAGCATTGCGCTAATTGAATTAATAATGGAAATTGCACGGAGCGACTGTTTCTGTTTTGTTTGGTATTCGCATTCCTTGATTCAATGGCAAACTTGTAATTATTCCGCGAGACCTTAACCGCCGGACTCTCGAATGGCCGCACTGCAAATCCATGTGTGTTACTTTAACACATTTTTTCTGTGTAATTTTAAGATTACACGCTTATCCGTGTTATTTAAACACACATAAGTGTGTAATATGATAATTTTATGCAGATCGCATGTGTGTTAAAATGCGTAAACATCTAAAATGTGTAATAAAATAAAACATATAAGTTTTAGACATGTTAAAATAAAACATATTTCTCCTTTTACACGTTTGAACAGATAAACGTTTCAAAATTAAAACACTTCAAAAAATACACATCAAAATTGTCGTTGTCTCTGCGTAGAAAGTTGCGCGCGCATCAATCTTTCTTTCTCGCTCCTTCCAGAGTACAGAGATATGTTAGGACAAGTACAGCGCGGCGGAAAGAAGTGTGCTGACGTGCAATATATGTTTAATGTGATTTGTGAAAATTTAATATATTTTTTATTTAATATGAAGAAGAAAGTGTACTGTTTAATCGGTGAACGTTGTAAACGCATTCACGTTTTCATCTAAAAAATATATCTCTGACGCTCAAATTGTACGTGCAACTTTAATAGAAGCCAGCAATAACAATGTAGTGTTATTTACAATCAATGATCAACAACAAAGAAATCATTTTACAAAAGTTTGATGCCGATCGAAATAATAAATTATGTGATATTGAAGAAAATGATGAAATTGAAGACAAAAGTGAGGTTAACGTACTTTTTTTGTATGAAAAACCATCAAGCCTCGTACTCGAATCATCACCATCTACTGGTTTTATTTCTGATGTTTCTCAAGAGAGACAAATCAATGACACGTATAACATGAACTTCAAAATATTACATACTGAACCAGGTGATAAAAGTTTGGAAGCTCGACGTTTTCTTAGGAGAACAAAATAATAATGTTTTAATATTTTTAAAGAATACTGCACTATGACAAACTTTATTATACCATAGTCATCTAAGTTTTTCATATTGCAGCTTTTTTGAACATAAATATTATTATTCTGTTCTCCTATGAAAACGTAGAGCTTCCAAACTTTTATACGATAATATGTCGTTTATTACACGCAACAAATTATACATTTAAAACGTGTTACTTTAGTGAGTTAAATCAACACGTATTAAGCGTGTTCTAATTTTAAACACTAAGAAACATATTAAAAGTGACTTCAATAAAAACACACGTCAAGTGTGTTAAATTAACACACTTGGATTTGCAGTGCGCGGAACAATGCGCTCGGGCCCCGTTGCCGCCACCTTTCACGGGCGTACGTGTCCCAGCTGGGATACACCACGCCGCACGAAGTTGCACACGCTAAATACATTATTGATTAGCGCACCATGAATTTAGTGGTCTCTCCGCCGCGCCTTTGCGAGCCGAGTAGTGCCATTCGGGGCTTGGCAGTCGCTCGCCCCGTCATTTTTGGGTCACGAAACACACACCTACATCTGCGCGTTGCATGCGCGTGCACAGAACGACCCCTTCGCACGCCCTAGTTTTTGAAAACGCGTCCTCCACCTTTCGAGCCGCGTCGTCCTTGCGGGTTTTTGTTAAATTTATTCCTGGATTTTTTTTTTTTTTTTTTTTTGTGTACATTTAATCCGCGCGCGATCACACCGCCAATCGCGTTTCGCGATATATATAACATAATACATATATGTATATCGACTAGTGCGATCGCGAATGTTGTCGCATTGGTGAAGAGTTCGGAAGTAGAAGAGAAAAGAAAAAAAAAAGCACATGGGGTTATTTTTACGGGCTTGCGCCCGTTTTACTCTCAAACGTCTCTTAAGACATTTTCCGCACATATTTTTTTTCACAAAATACATTCTCAATACATCGTGTTTTCGGTTATTAACTGTTGTAGATATAAAAGTATCGCTTTCTCGCGCTTTATTCAACGGGGCGAGGAAAAATCTCGCCGCAAATGTTGCAAACTCGGACAAAAAGTGAATTACGATTGGTAATCTCGTTGGGTTTTTCTCGCACGAAATAATTTGGCGGCGCGTGCGAATCGCCGCGTTGCGCTCGAGTAATATCGCGCGCGGCGCGTTCATTGAAACAAAGGATGCGAGATTTACGAAGGAATTGCGCGGGAAAAATTTCATGACGCGGTACGTATAGAACAACGCCACGGCGTGGTTTTTCGCCGCAATTTCCCGCAAGGCTATGGAATGCGAGATGCAGCTTTTTCTCACGTGTGTGTACGTGTGTGTGTGTGTGTGTGTGTGTGTGTGTGTGTGTGTGTGCGAAGGCTCAACGGCCTCGGTGCGACTGCAGCTGGCAACGAACATCGGAACGTTTGCGTGTACCATTGTCGTCGCGCATAACAAGCGATCGGTAGACATTGCGGAAAATTCTAAATCGGCATCTTATTCTCGCCAAAGCAATTTAAATGAGCGCATAGAGACCCAGCAAGTATCGTTCATACGCGAACGTAATGCTATCGCCGACAAATTTTTCCGCTATTTCTATGTAAAACCGCGCGCGGGGTTTTCTCTTACATTGAATTTTTACAGTACGAGAACTACAGAAAAGAATGACATATATGCAATTTGTAGAAAGGACAGGGAAAATCCTCTTTTAAAGTATCTTCAAAATAAAACTTGAACTTTGTCAGAACTTAAAAAAACTCTAAAACAACATTTATTTTGAGACTTGGAAAATTGTTTTACGTCTTTTGAATATATCGCACACGTTTTTTTTTTTAATAAACTATTGTGTGCGAATTTCAAAGAAATATATCATTTATACAGAAATATATCACTTAATAAAATGAGGAGTGTGTAGGAAGGTAAGCACGTGTCGCAAAGCGGTGTAAATCCGCGGACGAAATTCTATTTCGCGAATCGGAAACGCGAGGGCGAGTGTTCGCGCCGGCAAACTCACATAGGGGATTGTTCGCCCCTCGGTGTGCAGATGGCGGCTCTTGGTCGGTATCCGGGACCTTCAGCCCCGCCCAGGTGATTTAAACGACGACCTTTCCAGCGCCGACCTACGCGCGCTGCACCGGATGAGTTCAGGGGAGAGGGATGGTCGCGAAATTCCCGAGGGGGTGAATGACTGAACGGGCGGCATGTCTGCATCTGTTACACGCGACCGTGTTTTCGTCCTCGCGCAAAACGCGTTTCATTTCGATTCATTAACGTCGCGTGTAGCTTAAAATTTCAAGAAAGAAAAAGTGTCGCAAAAGATCGAAGAAACGATACAATACAGAGTGGAAATATATACGATAATATCAATAGAGAGTTTGGATTGAAGCACCGCGTTGTATGAAAATAGAGCGAATATTTCTCTTTAATAAAATGAACGGCTATCGAGTTGGCATACGCAATCCAATTCGATGCGATCGAGTTATCGCGATATAATCGGCAAAAAATTAATGCTTTGGAACTTTTCAAAGTAAATTTCAATAAACACAAATTTTTGATAATTTCAAAATTTTGAAAAACAAAATTAAGAAGATTTCTTTATTGCGGAGACGAAGGAAAATTTCTGTAAGAAAATACAGTTACAATTTCGATGTTACAACGGATGGAGAAAGAAACAACAGAATACCGGCAAATTAGAATCCTTGTATTCCAGTCTAATAACTTGACAAATTACGAGCGAAGTGAACTTTGAAGTCCCGACAAAGATTTGCCAGAGCCTCCTTGGAACGATCTAAGGAAAAGAAGCGCTGCTCTCTATATAGAACATTGGCTTGCTGCTGGCGCACAACCGCAGACACGAGGCGCGCGCGGTGTGCGACGGTAATGGGTGAAAAGTTCAACAGACAGATTTGCATCGGAATTACATCGCATAAAGCCGCGCCCCGGTGCGACTCGGTCGCAATGGGCGCAACCGCATTAAATACTGTCCAGAATTTCCGCTTTCCTCTCGCGTTCTTCCTTACCCTACCCAACTTACGTACCTTACCTACCTACCCTATCCCCTAGCTATCCGCTCTCGCCTCGGTACGCCTCAGGGCCACGTCAGACGAGTTCATCTTCCACTTTGACCGAAGTTCGGTCCTTCTCGCTTTGAGCGGCACGAGAAGCAAAACGATTATGAGCTTACTTGCGCGACTAGCAGTCGGGATTGGCGACTTAACAAGGACTAATACACG